TTAGACACACCCAAAAAAACTTTGTTGACTGAAGGAGCCAACCAAACGGTGCCAAGGCCAGTCTTGAGGAGGTAGCGGAGCAGATCGAGCGTTGGTGCGCCGACCCGCAGCTCGTGCAGAGCGGCCAGGTCTACCTCATCGACAAGGCGGGGGCTTTGAGTCATGTGGTCTTTGAGTGCACCTGTCCCAAATCATTTTATTTTTTTAGATAAAACAACAAACAAAGCATAAACAAAAGCAAAAACAAACAAACGGTCGCCTCGCCATCGATGTTCCACCCAGCCTCCAGCAAGCCCCCCTCCCCCCCGACCAACCCTTTGAAGTTCCTGGGCACCTAACCTTTGAGCCGCCCATGGCACGAATTCGCCGGAGGCGCCCGGCCAACCTGCCGGCTTCGAGGCCAAGGATCCCCTGTGAGGCCGGCGGAGGGCCTCCTGGCGGCGACCAATGGGTTTGATCCGTTGATGAGATCGTTTCGCTGTTCGTCCGCACATCCAACAAAAAAGGGTGCCCTTGTTGTTTTTCTTTTCCGCATGGCCACTGGGCATCTGAGTGTTTGTTTGATGTTTCCGGAAGGCAACAGGATGCAGTGACTGGACCTAGAGGGCGAGATGATGTGCTTGGGAGGGCTTGCTTTCGATCTCATTTTGATGCCCGCAAAGTGGTGAAGTGCCATTTAATTTGAGGAAGAGGGCGAAAGTTGATGAAGGAAATTTTAAGAGGCAGTGTACATAATGGAGTGCAGCATCAAAGAACGCATCCAAGAGCTTGTTGCAAGCTTTGAACTGCAACCGCTCGTGCGCAACCTTTTGCCGGCTCCCGCAAAGGAGATAAAGGTTGTGCACCGCAGCCGGGCTTCGTGCTTGAGTGGTCATGAAAGCCCTCGGGTAGTTAAGGGCTCATTTTTGCTGAGCTGTTGAGAGTACTCGAACTGGCCCTCCATCTGCGAGATGATTGGAGCAAGCGTTGGATGTCGGCCCAGATGGCCTGCAAGCATTTGACGCGACACGAGAATTGGAGAAGTGAAGACAGGGGGGAAGACGAGGAAGCAATGCAAGGCAAGAAAAGGACGGGAGGCGCCTTCCATGGGAAGCGACTTTACACGAAGGACGGCATGCGCTGAGGGCCTTGAAGATACGCCCCTTCGCCGGCGTTGGGCTCAAGGAGTTGTCACTGTGCCCCTTCTGCAAACTTCAGCGCCGAAGCGTAGTCCGCACGATGGGAGCGCGGAACCCAGGGCATCGTTGTCTTAGGGTTGTATTTGTTGCCGTCGTCGTCTGAGGGTTGTATGTATATTGCCGTGCCCTATAAGAACAAGTGGTTCACTTCTTCAAATTTCCGAAAGTCGACGGCAGTTTCTCTGGCCATTCCCAGTTTTGGAAGACATGAGAAGGAATGCAGAAACTTCTATCTCCTTGGCCATGTGAGCTTGTATGGTTTTTTGCGGCTCCTCATTTGTTGGGTCTGCGCATTTTGTCCTATTCCCGATTGGAGGGCTCCAACTTTGCTTTGACTCCACAAAGGCCGTCAAGACCTTCACCTTGAAGATGAAGCTGGCGAAGAAGCGCCGCGCTTGGACGTCGAAGGGAAAGGAGAAGGGGCAAAGTCGGGTGGGTGGGTGGGTGGGTGGGTGGGTGGTTGGCGGCGCTTCCTTTTGGTCGGTACCCTTAAAACGGGCGCGTCTTTGAGGCGCCTCATATTTTTTTGGGCGAAATGCCAATGGCTGAACCTCTGGTTGGCTGCACCTCCATTTTGCTTTGGCCAAGTGCCCATGGCTGAACTGTTGCGAGTGCCATGCCATTGGAGCAAGCTCCTTTGGCTGGAGTCCATGGATTGGATCCACACGTGAAGACTTGGAGGTGGGAGTGCTCGAGTCATTGAGAGAATTGGCGCGGGCGACGCCCCTTTTTCTCCTCTCAAGATGGGCCCTGGCGCCTGGAAGGAGTCACTTGACCTCGCCATGATCTTGACAAATTTGGCAGAGACGGGCGAGATGTTGTGTCCATTCGATTGCGCGTCCGAGACTTCTTGCCTGAGGATCAAGCAGAACCGGCCTCTGCCGCAGTGGTTCCGCATGAAGACGGGCACCAAGATCCGATACAACAAGTCTTAGCCCCAGCATGCCATTGCAGCTGACACACTTGCACCACCAATTGTCCGTAGGGAATGTGCAGCTTTTTTACTGCTTGCATGTCCTGCAGCTTTCTACTGCTTGATGTCCGCGAGGTTCCGCCGCCACTGGCGCCGCGGCAAGATCGGGGCCAGGGGCTCAGGCACCGACTCCCTGTGCATTTTTCATGGTGGGGACTACATGGTCATAACCGTGGCGATCCCATTTTGGGGCGGATGAACACCCATGTTACCACCTATTTTGATGTTCACCAGGGGTACAGGGTTTTGACCAGCAATTTGATTCCTTTAGAATGAATCAGACTTTGGCAGAATGCGAAAGTCCCTAGTCGGGAGGGATTTGCCTAAGTTACAAGTCAACCCTTACCTTTCAAGCAGTTCTTTCCTTGGCTTGGCACGAAGCTCAGAAAGTGACAGAAGTGTACAAACCTGCGTGCCGCACTCAATCAACCTTTTGTGCCGCTGAGCTCTGAGCACGACACAGACTTCCTGAGCTGGAATGGATGTGGCATCCCAATGAAAAAACATAAATACGTAACATGTATTTAAATATATTTGTCGGTATGCTTATGTTTGTGGTATTGGATTGCATTGTGATATTTGTATTTGGCTACTTTTTAAATTTTGAATAGAAATATATTTTGGATTTCCATTTTGGTTTTTGTTTAGACACATGTTTAGATTTTGTGTAGTTGTTTTATGTTTAATTTAGAATATTGATTTAGATGGTTAGATGATTTGATAGGTTATTGATTATTATTGTTATTATTATTATTATTTTTGTTAAGCATTGGTGTTTGAGAGAAACTTAAGGTGTTAATGATGGGTTTTGTTTGTTGAGTTTTGGTGGTTTGGGTTGTGTGGTTTGTAATTATTGGGTTTTGGATGGAATTGGGTAGTGGTTTTACTGACATATGTGTTTTTGGAATAGCTTGTTAATATTAAGTTGTTTTTTCTTAATTAATTATGATTTCGTAGTTATTGTATGATGTGATTGTGGTTTAGTAATGGTTCGATAATATGTTTGGTTGTTATATTTATTGAATTGGTTATATATTAGAATTTTAAAATGTAGGTTATTTGTATAATTATTTTTGATTTATATTTTAAATGTGTTTTAGATATAATGAAATAATTTGTTATTGAATTTATATATATTTATATATGTGCTTTTATATAATTTAAATATTTTATACGATTACTTATATTGTTTAAGAATATTTTTAAGGATGATTTATATTATATAGGGCTTTGGAATGAAATTTATATGTTGAAATTAAATTGAAATATAATAATAAATTATATATTAAATATATTGAAATATATTATAATATATAATATAAACCACTTAATAATAATAATAAATAAATTTAATTAAAATATTATAATTAATAATGTTAATTCAATTATTTTATTTGGTAAATTTATAATTATATATAAATTTATTTTCTTATTTTAATTCTAATATATATATATTTATAAAAATATAAATAATAATAAAACAACATATTGTTCTATTCCTATATAAATTAGAAATTAATATATTAATTTAATTAATATAATATTATTATATTTATAATAATATTTTCTTTTTTTTTTGGATAATATATATATATATTTAAATTGTTATGCATTATATATATATATATTTTTGGTTTTTCTCCCAAACATATTGAGAAATAAATTGCATAGAATCACTTGCAGAGTTAAATCCGCCGACATTATTCACATTGTTCGGCGTGTCGGATATTTACTAGAGGATAGAGGATAACCCCCCCCTCCCCTAAACCCCCCCCCCCCCGCCCGACGTCTATTACGTAATTTTTTTTTTTTTGGGGGGGGCCCCCTATATAAACGTAGTCTTTCGGGGAGCCGGTGTCGCAAAACAGGGGTCCCAGGCTCGATTCCCCCTGCCGGCTTTTTGGCTAGCTTAGGCATCCTGTATCTTTTTGCCGAAAATCTGGAACAATTCAATGTTTTTGGTCGTCCTCTTTAAGAAAACGTAAGAAAACCGTGCTTTTTACGGACAATACTAGGGAGCAAAAAAAAAGTGCCAAGATATATATATATATACATTTCATTACATTACATTACATACATGCATGCATACATACATAACATACATAACATATATATATATATACATACATTATATTACCTATATCATATAACATACATACATGCATCGCATGCATATATACATATATATATATATATATACATATATATGCCTACATGCATACATTACTTTACATTTCATTATATATATATATACATACATTACATATATACATTATATATATATATACATTATATACATTACATACATTACATACATACATACATACATTACATTACATAACATAACATAACATAACATAACATACCATAACATAACATAACATAACATTACATTACATTACATTACATGACATCACATCACATCACATCACATCACATCACATCACATTACATTACATTACATTACATTACATAACACAACACAACACAACACAACATAACATAACAGAACAGAACAGAACAGAACAGAACAGAACATAACATAACATAACATAACATAACATAACATACCATAACATACCATACCATAACATACCATACCATACCATACCATACCATACCATACATACATACATACATTACATACATTACATACATTACATTCCATTCCATTACATTACATTACATTACATTACATTACATTACATTCGGGATTGTCGATCGCATTTGCGATCCTTTATGGGGATCGGCGTGGTCGAGGTGTAAACAAATTGGCGATTCTTGCGGTGCTCGCGCGATTCTTTGCGGTGATTGGCGTGGTCGAGGTGTAAAATTTGTGTTTTTGTGTTTTTGCGGTGTGCGGATGATTCCTTTATGGAGATCGTGCGTGTCGAAGCTCCGACCGGAACATCGTAACCCTGAAACGTAGATATATGTGCGCGGAGTACCTCCACAGCTTAGCGCAAGCTGAGCATCTTGCGCACAGATATAAGCACCGAACGTCTTGCAGAGAGAAATTTGCATAGAACAATGTGCATAGAATAACTTGAAGATAGTAGTCGAGCTATTTGCATGTAATAGCTTGTAGTGAATAACTTGCATGCAGTAGCCTGGAATAATGCAGCATGCATAAACACTGCCATATTTCGTTTCGTAGGACAATAAGATGGAGCTCTTATATAATGATATACATTGAATATCGCCGCGTACAGAAGCGCTTGCCACATTAATATACAAAGGTGTTACCGCGACATTTTTTTTCTTATTTATATTATTATTATTGATGATTTATATGTATATTATTTTTTCCATTATAAATATATTTGTAATTAATTGATAACTAATTAAATAGATAATTAAATTTAGTTTTTATTCTATATATAAATTTTCAATAATTCCACCCCCCCGAAATATTATGAAAGATTCTTTCTCTAAAAAGGCTAAGAAATTTCTCCTATTAATTTCTCAGACTAACTTACCGAAAAATTATTTCACCTGATAACTTCTTAATTTTCTTTTTTAGAATCTTTTTTTAACAATTCTTTTTCTTATATCAATATTATCTAGCAAATTTTCGAGAATTATATCACTTACCAATTTCTTATACCACCTTTTCGATAATTATTTCACAAATATATTCTTATATTATTTTTTGGATATTATTATATAATTTTTAGAACACAAAATATATTGTTTTCTTCGGATTTTACCTCATTATTCTAAAAATATAATTCAATTGTCCTTTATATTTTCACACTTCTCGACACTTAATTTTCTTCTTTTTTTGGAGCTTACAACATATAATCCTCTGCGGAGATCGTGCATATCGAAATACTCTCAATTCTTGATCTCGACGAACCCTTTACGGAGATCATACTATCGAAACGCTCTCGTTATGGCGCCTTACAAAATTTGTCTGGAGCTCGGCGAATCTTGTACGGAGATCGTACGTGTCGAAACATTGTCGTTATGACGTCGTGCGTTTGTCTTGATCTCGGCGAAAACTTGGAGATCGGATCGTACGGAGAACGTGATGTAATGAGGAAACGAAAGGATAAGAAAAGATCCAATACACATTCTATTTCTCTATCTGTCGTGCATATGCTATCTTCATCAGAATCCTATTATTGACCACTGATAAATAGACCTCTATCCACTCACCTTCTTCCCGCTCATCCCTTCCGCTCTCTCGCGGTTTCACCCATCACCAGCTACTTACTTTCATAATCTCAGGAACGAACGGAGTAAGAAGTGAGTGAGATGGAGGAAATAGGTAGGTGAGTGATGCCTTTCCTTTCTTTTTCCCATATCCATCATTTCATTCTAGATTTATTCTTTCCATCTCCTTCTATCACCCACGATATGAGGAATGAGGAGGTGATTAGGAAAGATAAAAAACAAAAAAAATATTTTATAGAAATCTTATAGTTATTTATTTTTTTAGTATTCTATTATTTTTTATTTATCTTTATTATATTTTTCCTTTATTATATTTCTATTTCTTGGAAATTCACATATTTTATTCTAGATATCATAACAATTCTTTCGTCTATTAATTGGACGAGGATTAGGAACATAATCTCATCTAAAAAATCCTAAAACCTCTTCCTATCATAAACCTCACAACCTATCTAAATAATCTTACCGCTACACCCTAGGACTAGATTTCATAATCACTTTCCTTATACCTCCAAATCTCTATGGCTTAGTGAGGTAAAAGAATCACCAATAAATATCTTCCCTATCCTTCCTATTACCTATCCTCATTCTATCATTTCACCGTTTCATCATAAATCTTTCATAACAATAAGAACTCCAAAAATCGAATAAAATAAGATAATAGAATGAAAACGAGCGGAAATAAAAAATAAAACACCCATCATCATTATCAATTTCCCTATTTCATGTTTTTTGTTTCCTCGCTTTATGGATTGTTTCGTTAACAAGGAAAAAAATAAACATATTAAATTAAAAATTAATTTTCCTAATCAAAAGATTTCTACAAAAAAAAATCTCAATCATATCCTATATCTCTATCATCTATTTCTTCTTAGCTCATTCCATCTCATCTCCTTCATATATCAATCATTCCACCTTTCCAAATCCCAAAACATTACAATTATAACTAAAAAGCCGAATTAAGAAAATAAAAAATTCCAAAACACAATCTATTTCTCTATCTCTCGGTTATATATTATCATAAACCGCTAACAAATAAATCTCTATCCACTCACTTCCTACCCACTCATCCCTTCCGCTATCTCTCGGTTTCACCCATCACCAATGCCCAAACATATTCGTTATGATGCTATATAATATTTCCTTAATCTTAATAAATCGAAATCATATATATCAAAACATTTTCAATATATATTTTCATTATTCATAAATAATTAAAAAAATATATATTTCCTAATTTACGCATTTATTTTTACAAGCGGAATATCATAAATTCGATTTCCCCGGATTCGATTTCCCAATCCATAATCGTTCTAACATAAGAACACCAACTCTCAAATACCAAAATATAATACAATTATTACAATTCCATAACTCTAGATACATGTATTCGCACAACTCCGGCTAAAATCTCAAATTTCATATATATATATATATCAATAATATTACAATTCAAGATTAAAAATCATAATTTATATATATATATATATATAAATAAGATAAATCGGGCTCAAACACCCCTCCCATCCAATAATTAAATCAAATATAACAAACAATTCAACCCCTTAAAAGAAATTAAAACTTAGAGAATTCCCGCTAACACAACTAGCTTTTGTGATAACAAAATCGATCCGACATATAATAACCAAATTCTACCGATGTCAACATACACCAATTACATAAAAAAAAAAACAAAAAACAACAACATCCCCAACACCCACAACGAGCATTGCTAGCATTTTCCAATCCCCGAGCCAAAAGGCCCGACTCTCAGATCTCGGAAGGCTCTAAGATACAGGCCGGGTAATTTGCGTTTCCGACCTTAATTTAAACGCCTCCCTTTTGCCTCCGACCACAATAAACACTGGCAACAGTCCGGACAAGACACAAACCATGACCCTTCTTTGTCTTGTCGCCCGTTGTTTTTCATATCCGAGACTTCTTTGATAAGGATCGGGGGCAAAAGATGCCAGCCTCTTTTAATAAAAAGAGGACACAACTTAAGTTTGCTCGTTCTCATCACACATGTATGCAACTCCATGAAAATGTGCTGTATTCCTCATCCTTACTCCTGAAGCTTTTTTTCTCATTGTGCATCGAGATCTTTGGAATCTAGGTACCTTTCAGGTCCTCCACGTGCCGGACACGTTGTCTCGAGCAACCTCCTGACTGCCACATGTTGTGGCTGCAACGCCGGCGCTCGGCTGCAAAGCCTTTCCAACAGGGCACGTGTGCGCCACGTGCAGGGAACGATTGAAAGGCAGCTGCCAAGAAGCTCCCAATCTCATGTTCAAAACGTACAGAAACACTGCGCACTCGCCTGCCCAAGACCTATTCGCATGCCTCATGCAAGCCAGCTGCCTTTGAGGTCAACTGAATCTTGCTCTCGAGGTGGCTAAGGCCACGCTCACTCGGCAAACCACACATGCCGCTCGTAGGTAATTCTTGATTCCTTCTTGCCTGCTTTATCAGGCTCAGGCAGCTTCACAGTCGACGAAGATCTTGTGATCTTGTCTCGGGTGTGCGAGCACTCCATCATGGTCCACGAGCCCTGCAGATCGCCCACATAGTGGAGTTCCCTATCCTAGGCCGCGTCAGCTTGCAGCGACGAAACGGACCGTGTGCGGGGGCCTCACCTACTTCCTTTCCCGCTCCTCATTCCCAAGATCAACACTACTTTCCTTGTTCGAAGATTCACTGACCCTAGTTTTGACGTCCCAAAGAAAAGGACCTATCATGCGCAAGCTTCCTTACCTAGTGCACTCGGATGATCGCTTGGCCGAGCGGCGTGAAACAGCTTAAGCTCGATCTTGTGAGAAATAGAGAACACTGCCAGATTGAGGCGGGTACAGCGATCGTATAGATCGTGCTCCACATCTGGGGATATGCCATTGGTGCATTCGTCCAAGACCACAAAGCTTGGCTTGTGGTAGAAGAGCCTTGCGAAGGCCAATCTCTGCTTCTGGCCCGGAGACAAGTCTTTCCTGGTCGGGCAACATAGGAAAGAAGTCCACATGGAAAGAATGCAGGGGCGCAAAAGAAAATCGACCCTAAGCACAATTTATGTAGGCCAAGCTGCTGCCAGTCCCTTACATCATCAAGGGCTGGCCGCACCACAACGCCCTGATCGTTGAACTCCAGCTGCGCGCGACCATCTTGTATCACAGTGGGGGAGACATGTGCCCAACGCAGGCACGTTCGCACGTCCTCATCAGATCGCCCTGAGGCCAGCATTTCAGCATGCGACGCGGGGTAGATCACTAGATCCCGCAGGGAGCCTTGGGGGACGAAGTTCACCTGCCTTGGCGTGAGAGGACTCTGCCACGACAACACCCCAGGTATTGGCAACAGGAACCAAGCGACCACACCAACTTGCAGCCCAGCGACGTGAGGAAGTAAATCTCCTCACAAGCAAATGTCGGAGCCATCGCAAATTTTAACAAAACTCTTAGGCTTGGGCCTCCCTAAACTGATGCACTGCTCATTTTGTGCGCTTCTCACACACTTTTCCAAACGGGTGCTCGTCACAAAGGTGGCTTCAAGACAAGATCAGGTGGGTCATAATCAAAACCCGGAAATAAAATAGTCTACCCAGAATGTAAAGAGTTACGAAGGCGGATATCCGCAGCTATTTATGGTTGGGATTGTCCCTTACTAACCTTCATCTACCCGGGTTTTTGAGCACGTGGCTCAGGTGTGCTGCGATGAAGAAAGCCTGGCCAGTGCTCGCCCGCCTTGTCCGGTGGCATGGTGATTGTACCCTCCACCAGGGGCCACAGTTTTCGGATCACCCGGAAGAGGCTGGACCTGAGTGCCGAATCTCAGCTCACAAGCTTGGTCGACGTTGGAAGGGGAACAAACATTGAAATTTTAGCAGTTAAGTGGGGGGATTTCCCACTAAACCACAACAAGCAAAAATGTGAAGTGTTTCCCAACAACAACCATGCAAAGGGCGGGTTAAATGACTCGTGTCGCATTTTCGCTCATGTTGACCCGGGATTAATAGGCCCCTCCCATTATTAGGGGGTGTTCCAACTCCAAAAGTGATGAATCCCCGCTAAAAGGGGGTTTCTTCATCCGAGATTAACATTTTCACCCAACTGCACCTTGTGCTTGCATGCCTCTTGGACGGTGCTCAAACAAATCAGGTAATTTTCATTGAACCCAGTCGCAAATTGCAGCTTTTGAGGGTGAACAAAAACGGTGGTTTCTTCGCGACCAATCATTTGGAGGTCCAAAACAGAGAAATGGAGGGACCCCTGCCACACAAAAACACGTGCTTTTCTTCGCCCTGCGGCTTCCCACAGCCATTGCCGCCGGTCACGAGCACACGCTGGCCTCGCTCCACGGTGAAATTCAGGTCCTTGACCAGCAGAGTTCCATCGGGTCGATAGATGGACACCTCAGTCTCTTGTGTCGTTCATGCCAGGGTTCCCAACCCTCCGCAACTCGCATCTATAGCACCACAAAGGAAACCGCCAGCATCTGGCATGAGAACCGGCAGGCTATTCTTGCGGGGCTCGTGCATTCGCCCCAAACAGAAACACGCGGTGCTTAAGCTGCAAAGGCCGCTTTTATAGGACACTTTCCAAGTTGGCCATTGACAATTGGGCGTGGCTCAAAATCAAACAGCAGGGGCAAACCGCGGGGTTTGCTCCATGTTTCCACTTGCCAGGGCTCCATTTTGGCACCGGTTTTTTGAGCTACAGCCAATAGACAACTCACCTGGAAACTTGACCCTTCCTAAAACAGCCACACGATTCTAGGTGGGAGCTAGTATCAGCTAACCGGCTCCGCTCCCAGCGGAGATGCGTGGTCGAATTTCAGGTTCTCGCCGCTGTTGAACACGGGCGGGTGGGAACCTGCAGTTCAGCTTCGGCTCAGTTCACGATCCGTCAGGCATTGGGCAAAATTTGTTTAAACAACACTGGCCCTTCAAATGGGAACCAAAAGGAGGGGGAACTAAATGGAGAGTTTAAACAGAGGTTGGCCCCCCTGTCTTAAGGCCGTTGCAGCCGTAGCAGGTAAGTCAGCCACCTCCTGTTCACCGTGAACAAGGCCAACCACACATGCATGACAATGGAGCAGTAGCTCTATACGGCCGTTTGATAGGTATTCCTGATTCCTAAAAAGGAACCTCTGCTGTCTTATCATCAGGTGATTCTTACAGTTTCTGTCTTCGCGCGGTTAAACCATGTGACCCATGTCGGTCGTTGTGGCGTGGGTCGCCCACGTACGAAAACAAGTTGACACAACATGACATCTCAAAGGATGGCCGCCATGCCTAGCTGGAAATCCCCAACCACCGTGCAAGGCTGTTCAATACAGTCTTGGCCAAACACCGCCCTGATTTCGCCCTGCACCCTTGGTTGGTCCTAATATTTCCCAATATGCACGGCATGATGACCCCCTGAGAGAAATTGTGCTGATCAATCACCCGAGGGTCGTCAATCAGTTCAAGGGGGACCCCAGAAAGCAATGTATGCAACCGACCTCAGCTTGCATTTCGGAAACCCGCTGCTTCGTCTTTTTCTCCCAATCTCCATCCATTTCCTACACAAATTCCATCGCGGCTGTTTTGGGGTCAGGGTCCTGATCAATCACGCATGCAAAAACTGGCCGTTTGCTGCCCCCCAAAGGCAGAAGAAAGGGAAAGAGAAAGGCAGCGGTGCCAAGTCTGCTGTCTCCACCTTGCCATTGCTTTCATTACCTTACCTGCCATCAGCAAAGTCCAAGACTCAAGTGAAAAGGAGTCCGAAACAAGTGTCACTTGAAATTCACGCGTCTTCATTCTTTGGATTTGGGCACCTTTTGACAGCTGCTGCGAGGTATAAACATCGATGTTCATGCCCCCTCAAGTGGTAGGAAACACAGTTTTTGCCAAGAATATGACCAAGTAAGCAACCATGGGCCCAGCAAAATGCGTAGCCAAGCTGGGTCCATCTCAGAACAGGGTAACCCCCCGAAAATGGTTCTTCGTAATGCTTCACAACCCTTGGTATGGTAGCAAACAACTTTGTTTTTGCAGCCGCCTACAATCTTTTTTGCCGGGTTCCCTTACACATAATTCCCCCCCCCCACCCAAAAAAAAAAAAACCCCAACAACAACAACAACAACAACAACAACAACAACAACAACAACAACAACAACAACAACAACAACAACACCACCACCAACAACAACAACGACGACGACGACGACGGCGGCGGCGGCGGCGGCGGCGACGACGACGACGACGACGACCACCACCACCACCACCACCACAACAACAACAACAACAACAACAAGAACAACAACAACAACAACAACAAGAACAAGAACAAGAACAAGAGCAAGAGCAAGAGCAAGAACAAGAACAAGAACAAGAACAAGAACAAGAACAAGAACAAGAACAAGAACAAGAACAAGAACAAGAACAAGAACAAGAACAAGAACAAACAAGAACAAGAACAAGAACAAGAACAAGAACAAGAACAAGAACAAGAACAACAAGACAACAAACGACGACAACGACGGCGGCGGCGGCGGCGGCGACGACGACGACGACGAACAACAACAACAACAACAACAACAACAACAACAACAACAACAACAACAACAACAAGAACAAACAAACAAGAACAAGAACAAGAACAAGAACAAGAACAAGAACAAGAACAAGAACAAGAACAAGAACAAGAACAAGAACAAGAACAAGAACAAGAACAAGAACAAGAACAAGAACAAGAACAAGAACAAGAACAAGAACAAGAACAAGAACAACAACAACAACAACACCACCACCAACAACAACAACGACGACGACGACGACGGCGGCGGCGGCGGCGGCGACGACGACGACGACGACGACCACCACCACCACCACCACCACCACAACAACAACAACAAGAACAACAACAACAACAACAAGAACAAGAACAAGAACAAGAGCAAGAACAAGAACAAGAACAAGAACAAGAACAAGAACAAGAACAACAACAAAACAACACACAAACAAGAACACAAACAAGTTGCCAAGAACCTTGAAGCCTTGGTTTCCTTTCGGCTTCCCTTGGAACGTGGCTTTCGACGTAGATCCGGGCCCCGCCTTGTTTGGCCACCTCGATTTCCTCCTGCAGCACCGGGGGCCGCACCTCCAGGCCATGCATCAGCTGCCGCACCCGGGAAGCGAAGCCGCTGAGGCGGCCGATGCGGTTCGTCAGCTCGAAGAGGTCCTCTCCCAGCCCGTGGCTCTTTTGTATTTTTTACTTTTTATAACACACCCTGGGATTACACCCTTGGGAAACCGAGAATGCTGCAACACAACACGGTTTTATCCACACATGTACCTAAATGGGGTCAATACCCAGTGGGTGTATTCCCAGGGTGTAATACCAAAAAAACAAAAACACCTTAGAATGGCTTGGTCTGATGTCTGATGGATGAAGGGGGGAATGAACCTGGTGGTTCCCTTAAAGGAAGCCACAACAGTGGTTTTTAAGGGTCATTCCCTCATTCCCTGCAGGGCACCAGCAAGAAGAGACCAATGCCCAGAAACCCTTGCCCGGAGGTCCTGCCATGGCTGGCCACCCTAGCGTTTGTTGGTAGTGACGGGGGAATCGAATCATTGCCGGGATTTCGTGCATCCACAGTATAACAAATTACGGCTCTCCCGGGTGATGCCTCCATTCGAGTGCTGAAAGAGGCAAACTCTCCGAAGGAAGGCAGTTTCAGGGACCAGCATAGCAAGGCCCATTTCTGGCCACTGCCTTCACCTTCTGCCAAACATGTCACGGCATTTCCTTGTTAAACCCACCAAGGCCATCGAAGTCACCGTGTGGCCGTCAAATGTTGGTGGCCAATGGCTTTGCGGGCCCAAGCCAAGTAGTACTGGGAAGGGTTTTGTCAAGTGACTTGCACAACATTGGAGACCCCAAAGCTGCCTGAGTTCAAATCAAAACCAAAATCGTCAACTACTGGGGGTAAACCCTCCTACCGAAACACCACTCGCCCAAGCGCGTGGAGACAGACATAAATGCCAAGGTCCTGGGCTGCCCTCAGGTCCCCCGCCAAAAGTGACTAACTTTTCGTGGGTGAAATTCGGACATCCCACCACTAAAGACACCAAAGAAAGTGACTAACTTTTTAGGGGGTTAAATGGAAACTACCCCTAAACACAAAAAAAAACGCTCAAAGGGCTAAGGATTCGGACTGGGAGCCGGTCCTGAATGGCGGTTGCCATGGCCTCCATGTTTCTCCAGGTCGAGGTGAAGTACTGCGCGATTTGATCGTGCTGCAGCTTCGGCAGGTCTTTGGATCTCATCCGCAGGGGTCGCGCAATGAGGACCAGGCCAATGACTGTGCAGAAGTATTTGTTCAAGTACTGGCCTCAGATGCCCCTTGGATTTCCAGAAGGACAAGAATCGGCATCCATCTCTTTTTTTGTTGGGGGGGTTGGTTTGAGTTCAAAGGGAATTTCCGCCTAAAAAAACAAAGGCATCCTTTCTTTGGTTGGTGGAGTTGAAAGGGATGTTTCCCCAAAGAAAAGGTGGAGAAAAGGTTGCGCAGCCCACGCAACTGGGTGGCGCAGGACCTCTGAATTGAAGGACGCAGTGATGGTGCGCCGGCAGTGGGAGATGAGCTGCGCAAAGGACTTGTTCAGCACATCCTTCCTAAACCATTTGCGTTTTCCCGCCCTCTGAAAGGAAGAAAGCCATATTTCCAGTAGTGATAGATTCCCTTTAAAACTCACAGGGGAAAATAAACAAATATTCTTAAGCAAATGGAAGCTTCTCTGGCCGTTCTCCTCCCAGGAAGGCGATTTGCTCGCAGTTGGTGATGAGCTCGGAGTGCTTCCCCCGAAAGTTGCCTGCAACTTTCGAAGCCACGGAAAGGCTGTAAATCGAACGGTAGCCAGTCAGTTCGTGTGGCTGTGGGTCAAAACATAGGTGCCACAAATGAAACCCTAGTAAGTGGAAACATGGACCAAAACCTGCGGTCCCCTGGTTCAATTTTGACCCATACCCACGTATGCCCAAATTCTCGGCGGATCCTCGAAATTGTGTCCGCCCACCAAATTGTTCAAGTATGGTGGGCCAACAAAATAGGGCTTCTGTCGGAATACGCGAAGATACGAACACTTTCAGAAAGCAACCCCGTACAAGCTTGAGCTACTTATTTTGCCGTCAGTCACGTCTGTCAACCACTTTTTCTTTCTCGCTTGTGCGCTCACGGATCAAGCTTGTGCTGTCTGCACATGACTGTTCCATGTTGGTGAATTTCCAAGGGCGACTGCCACAATCACATACGAAGGAACATCGCTTATGGCTGTACTGTCTCAATGTTCAAGCCCAAACATCGCAAATCTACTGTGGTAAAGGTGTCTACCACCAGCTCAGTGCAATTCAGGAATCTTCTGACTTCCCGAGTTGATGGCCCAAGAAAGTAACCGCTGAAATGTTCAAAACCCAAAAAAAATGAAGTCCAAGAACTCGGGAAGTGAGTATAACAAGTTGCTTCGTGGCCTGAAACGCCCGCTCAGGCGCCTGACTCACTCCAAATCCAGAAACCCCATAGCCGCGAGGTCAGCTTGTGCCCTCCGAAAATACCATGCCCCAATTCGGAATGTCTCACACGCCGCATGTCAAATAAGTTCATAGAATTTCAAAAGCAAACTGACATGAACACACATCTGCAATTGTTGCAATATTTCCAAAAGCTGAGCTGCGGGATCCCCAAGGTGAACGACCGTTCATCATGGTGAGCTCGTTTTACCCCAGGTGAGCTCGCCATAAATATAGGCAGACAATCCAACTCGAACTTTCGCTTTCCCAAGCGAGCTCATGGTAGTTTGGCGAAAACATACTGCTCCTTGCACCCGCCACGAAATGAACAGGACCGAACATAAATAAAAAAGCAGCAGCAAAAATGCCAAGAAAAGTGAAGTGCAAACGATTTCTTTTCTTGGGTATCATGCAAATCCATGGCTCAAAAATAAGCCACCTACCCAGAGTACTAAGCCCCTTCAACTTGCCAACGGCTCATCAACCGTAAGTGGAAAATTGGCTCTAGACTGCTATTTCAGCAGCAGCACACTCTCTTGTTTTGCTCCTTTCAGGAAACACTGCAAGTACCAACCAGACTGAGCCAGGGTTAATTCATAAGAAATAGCAGGCGGCAAAACTACGTGCCGTATGTTGCTCACATGCTGTGCCACGTTCACGAATCTTACCTTGCGACAGTTTTGGACGCAGCCTGGCCAAGCATCCTGACAAAGGTTTCGATCATGAACCTACAGCGAAGGAGGAAATCAGCGGGGTCCGGTCAAGAACAGTGCTTCCGTCGGAACTACGTGGCTTGCCTTATCTCCGCTACAAGCCTGCAGCACATCCCTTTGTTTTGCCAAGCTTTTGTCTCAACAAAGACAATCACCAGCTCCACGGCATCAAAGGGGTAACGACCAATCTTTTCCGACACCATGGGGCACACCCGTATTTGTTGCGTTGTTTGGCTATTCTAGAATTTCTAGTTGTCCTGAATTTGGTACAGGAGCATTGTTTGGTCTTGCTTGAGCGTAAGTGTTGCCCTGTTTCGCTTTTCTTTGTGCCTAATTGGCAGTTGGCCTCATTCGACGCAACCGAAACAGCATATGGAGCCTGAAAGGAACCTGCTTGAAACATTCTCCTCGAGGCTCCCTCCACATTCTTCTATGTTTCCTTTTGCTTCCATCGCCTGGAAAAACCAACACTATTTCCAGCAAATAGTGACAGATTCCTTCCAAAAGCAGCACGGGGAACTAAACACTCTTCTTCAGCAAATGGAAGTTTAGAGAGTGCTGCATCTGAGAATGCAACTTCTTAACTTGGCTGCTGTTGACCCCCCTGCAAGCATGTTTTCAACTTTTTGTGGGCATTTTTACGGAACCCCCCTTGATTTCGTCTCAAGATCCAACCCAATACTCGGCTGCTTTCCGCTCCCCTGCTCAAAGGTTAAAAACTTTCAGTGGCTTTTAGGGGAACAACCCACCAGTTGGCTGTAAAAGTTACTGTCCTCACATCCCCTTGGCGAAATGCGCCGCGCTCGCGCCTTCCAGCTTCTGCTCCGTGGCCGCGAGCTCCCCGAAGGGCGGCAGCGTCACCGCCGAGACGCAGGAGGCGACTGGGCGAGCGGCTGACTCGCCGAACGGAGGCTCCCGAAAAGTGCGGCCGAAAGGAAACCTGTCAGGAAATAGGATGGGCTAGAAAGTTGGCTTCTGGGAAAAATGGGAAGGGGCCATCTTCTGATGTTGCCTGGTCTGGTTGGGCCATGGCCATTGCTTTTCGAGCCTTGAAGCAGCCCGACCAAAGTCTGGCTGCTCATACAACTTTTGCATGTGCAGTGTGCCGCAGGCGCAACGTGCTGTGCGCATTGGAGATCGAAAGAATACATTTTGACCGCGCAGGCGTGCGCCAACAACACCTCGGATCATGCAAGTCCATTTTGCGTGGAAGCTTGTTGCACGAGCGTTGGCAATTAAAAGATCAACAATAAGCATTTTAAACGCGCAGGCGTGTCAGCAGAACCTTGGATGAGCCAAGTGCGAAGCGCGCCCACTCAAGCGACGCTTGCGAAATGACACCGCTCACGTGCACCCGCATTGCTCTGAAACGCCAAGTGCCCAAGTGATAAGCACACGCGCTTTTGAGTACTCGTGTGTAGCACCTGTCTCGAAGCAACAATGGACTCCCTAGTTGCAGGTTTAGCCACGCTAGAGTATAGAGACCGCTGGTTGCATGCGCAGCATGTATCATGTTGGCCGTTTTACCTTGCCATTCAGCATGTTGGGCAAAGGGGCTAAGGACCAATTGCGCCTTCGGTTTTGTATAGTCACGTGTCGCCACCCAAGTGTGTGGAGGGCTCGAGCGCATGCCGCGTTCTTTCCCTATGTATGTGGTGCTTCCGCCCGGGGAAGCAAAAGGGTTGGCGAAGATGTTTCCTGTGGTTTCCTCAAGTGAACAACTAGTGGTTGTAGCTGTCCCTGAGAGAGCTGTTGTTGGCCGTGCGCGTTTACAGGTTGGTTGTGCGTCATTGCTTGCAGGAAGAATGAGGCCATGAATCAAGCTCTTGTACAAAAAAAATAAGCATCCCAGTTGCCGCGGTGTTGAAACCCATGTCGCGGTAGAAGTGCTTTCGCACATGCATTGTTCACGACATGCACTTGCACATGCAGCTTTGCTAGCGTATCTGAACTTGGATGCGAAAAGTTCTAAACTTGCCTCAGTTCAACATCTTTCTGGATGCCGGTCGCAGCATTCAAGGACTGTTTCAAGGCTGCAGCATGTACGCTTAGGCAAGCAAATATCAAGTTTTCAGCCAAGAGCTGTAGCATGGATTTAGCATGCCTAGGGATCCCGCATTGCCAGAAAAGCATAGAAAAACATCGAATGCGCAGCGCTGATCAAAGCAAAAGCCACCACCTTGATCAAAAGGCGTTTTTGGCAGGGAGTTCAACAGCAACTACACCCGATAACGATGAAACCATCTCAGTAATATATAGCTAGCCCCCCTAGCATGATCCCATACCTTTTCGTTGCACGCTCAAAAGCCTGCTGGTGAGATTGCAACTTCTCTTGCCCTTGTTGTAGCTATTTAGGCTAAGTCTTGCCTCAGAACTACTGACTTGTAATGTTTGTAGCTTTGCAACATGCTTGCCGGGCGCTAGTTTGCAAAGCCAATGAACCAACGGATTGGACAATGAACGGCAAAGTGTGCAACAGGACAAACCACCCAGATTTGCCCAGCAAAACGAGCCATGCCCTGCGAAAGCGCTTTTGCCAGCCTCAACCGGAACAAACACATACTCTCAGCATCTGGTGGGGGATCGGGTAGAATGAAAAGGAAATCCCAGAGTCACACACTTCACATGTAGGAACTTGCAAATGAGAAAGTTGCCTGTGGCCCATCGCCACTTCTAATGACCTGGAGACTCAGGTTTGAGCCCTCACTCAGCGATTGGAGCACGCCTTGAAAACCGCCAGGCCACAATGGTTGGTATTTAATTCCCCAAATTCCTTTATTTAGCCTCCCGCAGGAAAGGAACATAAATGAAGTTCCCGGGATTCTTCAATACTGATAATACTTATGGAGAGAACAATAGCAAGGGAATCCCTCATGGCCCTCAATAAGCACGAAGAACCACTATGAGGCTGCAATGGTTCCCCTTGCCATGGCTCTGAATCAGATTAAGAGATACCCCAGGTTCATAGAACTTTGTGTTCATAGAAAGCTTTGAGAACCTTTCTGGAGGTAAACCCCAAACTTTGGTTGGCTTCCCTCGAAGCACTGCCCAAAAGGGTGGTTTTCCACATCGCCCCCGGTTGCTTATTTGAGCTGCCTGCCAAAGGTTGTACAAACCCCCAGAACATACCCCTTAAGGAGAAAACACACATCAAGGGTATTAGGGGTACATACGCTTTTAGGGCATTAACATTGACATTCACACTCTAAGGCTTATTTGCTCCCAACACCCGTATCAAAGTTCTTTGGGGTTTGGTTGGGACCCTGGAAGGCTTTTGAGTCCTTGAAACAAGAAAACCCAAATTCAGGGTATTTAGTGGTAAATAATCTCTAACACAAGGCTTTTCTGTCAGCGTTCTGTTATTTTTCCCTTCTTCTCTCGACCCGGTCACTGGACGTCTTTGAGTCCGCGGCAGGCGAACCAGGAGTAGAGCGTCAGAGGCGTGGTGAGGCCCTGTACTCGGCTCAGCTCCACGGAGTAGACCAAAAAGTCCACGATGGGCTTCAGCGACTGCGAGAAGACCTCCTGGGAAAGCATATAATTTTACCACTATTTTGGGAAATTGAGTTCTTGACTTTGAGTATTGTCTGATTAACCTAGATTCAAAGAACTCGACCCCAATGGAAGTCAGGGGCCAAGAGCTCCTGGCCCCTAGGGATGGGAGCTGGACCCATGGAAGTCAGACGGAGAGTAGCTTCCCAGAAGGCACTTTTGGGAAGCCTGGAAGATAATCTTCCTCTGGGGCGCGGCTAGATTCTGCATGCCCTCTTGCCGCTGCATGCCAACTTCGTCCAAAACAGTCCCCAGGAGCTTCACTTTGATTCAGGCCGCACGGAAATCACCTGTATGGGCCTCCATGTTGTGGTTGATGCAGCCAAGGAGCTGCAAAAACATCAGAAAAGCGCTCGACATCCGATGTAATTTGGTGATCGCAGTTCTCAATCTTCTTGCCCACTTTGTTCGCCTCCCATTAACGCATGCTTAGTGCTCGGTGTGCCCTTACCGCATATGAGCTTGTGGACATACACAAGAACAAATCATAAACTTGGTACGCGCACATACACACACATATATACATACATACATATATATATATATATGTACATGCATATGTAGTGGACACGTAGTATCGTATATTTATTGCTCATTGGCAAATGGGATCTTGGTTCTGGCCGCAACATAGCCTTGTAGAAGATCATGTCCTTTGGCCGCATATACTTGTCGTGGCACCACAGCGTGATCTTCTCCCGGACTTGAAGTCTAAGAGCGGCAATGTAGTATCTGCAGAGGCACGAACTAACCAATTACCAGAGTTGATCCAATGGGGACACATGAGACGCAACCCAAACTCCCAAACTCACCACCCACTTTGACTCGTTCTTTAGTCATGACCCTTGCGCCGAACGTTCGTGCGGCAAGCCGCTTCAGCAGCGCGTTCAGCACGGACAAAGCTACCTGCAGCACGCAAGCTGAACTGCCCTGGAACTGGAAAAGCGCGACGTTTCTGTGCCAACAATTGCCCGTTGCTTATCGCCGAGGAAATGATGAGGCTCCAAGCAATGGCTGCATGGCATATGCGTGTCGGGCGGTCAATTAAACTGTAACTAAACCCACATGGGCTCACAAGAAAAACGGCGCTCTGACAATATTATACATGCTACTGACGTTTTGACTCACTGACCCTGTTCTGAATGCTCTCGCCGAGATGCCGTGGCGCCTGCAAACTCTCCCACGAGCTTTGCTAGACGAATGAAGTCTTGCTTCACCACAGAGTTGACGATACTGCCCCAATGCTTTGAGACCTCGCAGGTCAGACACCGCTCCCTCTTTAAAAGCCACCGGATATTTGCGGCTCCGGAACGGGTCCCTTGCAGGCACCAGCTAGCCACCCCACTTAGAAGGCCCGTCATTACAAGAACATCTTCATTAATGTTGACCCCGGATTAATAACGCCTGGTTGATTAATAGGGTCCCCTTTTAGTGGGGATTCATTTCTTTTGGGGGGAACACCCCCCCTAATAATGGGACGTTTTTTTTAAAATCCGGGGTCAACATTACCACGGCTTGCCCTGCGCGGTCTTTCCCTTGAGCCCGGCGCCCACACGGAGCCCACCGTCCGCAGCAGTAGCATCAGTGACAGCTTCAGCACCGTCACGCCCTCCCGGAAGCTGCAGGTGGAGCCCAGGATGAATTTCATGAAGACCTCGTTGCCACGTCTCTTGCGAGGCTCTTTTCACAACTGCGGTCTGGCCTTGGCAAAACCACAGAGCCTTCTGCATCCCCCCAACCTACAAATGCATCCCCCCAACCTAATGAACAGAACCCAAAGCACAACTTGCCGAGAACGGTGAAGTGGTGAAATCCTATTGCGGGGACTTGGCACCCCACCCGCGCATCTACACTACGCCCTCGTCTAAAGCAACTGAGTTGCTGCGAGTCCCTCTGCTGGGGGCTCCTTTGCGCCGCCCTTGATCTTCTGGTTCTTTGCCTGCCGCTACGAAAAGTCGCGCGAAGCCGAGCTGTTAAGCTCACTTCTTGAGCGGATTGGCTAAACCATACAAACCTTTTATTCACGTCTAAAATGGTCTTCGGGAAAAATTGCAAAGTCCATGAACTCAGGGAGTGAGTAACCTTTCCCAGATCAAAACCCCCCTTTTCTGTTCGCTCTCTGTCAGTCGGAGCCAGCGGAAAGCTTGGATATGATTGATCGCCTTCAAAAGTAATTACTTGGCTGACGTTGGAAGGGAAGCAAACAATTAAAATTTTAGCAGATAAGCGGGGATTTTCCCACTAAACCACAATAAGCAAAATGTAAAATGTTTCCCAACAACAACCATGATTAAGCCTGGAAGGCGTCACTTCCACAATTTGATCTGCAAACACCGTGCTTCCAAAACTCAAACGAAGCACCCTGAAGTGAGCGACTTATTAACTGGCTGTTGAGCATTTGAGATGCACAGGGCCAAATCTAGCTGGATCTTTGGCGGTCTTGGCCTCGAACCAGCCTGGGGCAAAATGAAACTCACACGCCCTTCGCCACGAATGAGTGCTCATCAGGGAGAGTCCCTGGACTCGCTCGCCTTATGTTTCCGACACCCCGGCAACGCCCCCCCCATCCCACCCCACCAAGCCCCCAATTCTTCCAATCCCAACCCTCCCCTTCCCCCGAATCCGGGCCAGCGCCTTGTAGATCTGAACGTGCTCGCTAAACTTGCTGACCTGTCGGGTCGCCAGTTCTGCACTTGAAAGAAACAAACTCTTTCTCCTGCCACCCTGTCATGCCATTTTCTTGAGAACCCTAAAACAAGGCTAGTAGAGAATCCCCTCATTTGAAAGCACACCACGTGAAAAGAATTTATCGGGTCAGCAGAACGGGCTCACGCAAACCGAAGAGATGAGGTGCCTGAAAGCCTTGGCAGTCTTTTCCCAACAACCTTTGGGTCCAGCCTCTCCATGATCTTGGTTGCGAAAATCTCTCCCAGGTGGCAAATGGCCCCCCCACCAGCATGGACACTGCCAAGCATTTTTCAAAAGCAAACTAGGGCAAAATGGCCCCCCACCAGGACACGTGCCAAGCATTTTTCAAAAGCAAACTAGGGCAAAATTGCCCCCCCCCACACTGCCAAGCATTTTTCAAAAGCAAACTAGGGCAAAATTGCTCCCCACCAGCATGGACACGTGCCAAGCTTTTTTCAAAAGCAAACTAGCCTAAAAGGGGCCCGAAGGCACCTATTTCTGGAAGGACGGAAAAACGGGGAAAAATGCACCACGGGCTCCTTCCAACCAGAGCGAGCTTCCAACATGTCGAGGCGCAAACGCGCCAGAAAACCACGGCCCCTCGCCACAAAAACCGCTGACCCGACAGGGTGCTTGAGATCCCCCAGCAAAAAGTGCTCAACTTTTTGCTGGTTAGGAAATCTCTGGGGAATCCCCCAGCTCTACCGCTATTGGGTTTTGTAGGACACATGAGTGGAACTTCCAACAAAAGTTCAACCATTTCCGAAAAAAAAGCTCGACCAAAAGTGGAATCCCAAAAGATCAACTATTTCCCACAAAACAGTCCCCCCCCCCCCCAAAAAAAAAGAAGAAGAAGCTGACAGTTGGACTCCCAAAAGTCTTAGCTCCCAAGAGTCCAGTCGAAAGAGATCCGTTGCTTCCGAGAGCTTCCAAGCCGAGGCGCGAAGCTCAGGAAGGCCAGGCCAGCTGTGAGGCCCAGGATGCCGCTGCGCCGGGGGTGGCGCACCATGACCACCCCCTGGGGACGATGGGGGACGGGGGGACCGGGGGGACCGGGTGGGGGGGGCGGGGGGCTGGGGCCGCGTTTCTTCCCTGGGCGTTTTTGCGGCGCCTAAAAAAACCAACATGAGAAGATTTGTCCAGAAGATTGCCTTTCAAACCAGGGGGAAATCAACATATTCTTGAGCAGGGCTGCGGGAAATGACCACTTCTGTGATACAACAAAAGGGTCTCCCAAAGACTACCACCCCCATTTAAACAGGGGATTCCCTTGTATCACAGAATTGGGGATAAACCCCTTGATCCCACAACCCTGTTCTTGAGCAAATGGAAGGTTTCAAGGGTGCTGAAGTAAGGATCCTGGAGAGAGGAACCTTTCTCATGGGACTACCAAGAATATGGGAGGGAAACGTAACAACATGGGATATTACCCGAGCAAACGCGAAAAACACAGGCATATGATGAGATATGCGCACACACACACACACACACACTTGCAGTGCAAAGCCCACTACTGCAGTCAAAATGAAGCCTGTTTTCTTCCAAGCATTGGTCGCTGCACCGTGTGCAGCCCATGCAGCAAGTTGTTGACACACATCCACATACACAAACACACGCACAAACATCACCGACCTGAACATCACAATGCCTGCTAGAACGTAATCTTGATCTTTGGCATACGCTCAAGCACATTCTGTTCCAAACATAGCTAGACCAGATTGGCTTTACATTGCATCAATCTGGTCAAATGGTTGCAACATCTGCATGCAAAATCTACAATCACTTGTTCAGAAATGAGAAGCTGCAGGCAGGCAGGCAGGCAGGCAGGCAGGCAGGCAGGCAGGCAGGAAGGAAGGAAGGAAGGAAGGAAGGGAGGGAGGGAGGGAGGGGAGGGAGGGAGGGGAGGAAGGGAGGGAGGAGAGGGATAATGCCATAGTGAGCCCGCGCTCAAACCATCCTTTAAGTTTCGCGAACACAAAGGCTCACATTTCCCAGCCTGCGGGCTCGGCCGAATGTAGCGAGGCATCGCTCAAGATCGGGGGCCGCCCCTGCAGAATCAAACGTGCATGAGATTCTTGAGCCACGTGCTCCGGCGCGGTCTTTACATTAAGTGCCAACAGGAGGTCCAACCAGGACCCTCTAACCCCTATCCAAAGAAAACAAGTCTATTCTGAGCATCGACGATGCGCAAGCTGGTTTGTGTGGCAGGAACCCCTAGTTCATACATGAACCACATGCACGACTTAGTGTAGCCGTTTTGCATTTCTTTAAGCAAGTGGAAAGGAATATGAAAGCCAACCTGCAAGAGATACAGTCGAATCATCCAGATTGGCAATCCAAACTCGACCACCAACCGAGCGCATCTACAGGACGCACATGGCCATGGGAAGGCAAACTTTGTCTGCAAATATGCTAAGGGTGGCGCCGAGCAAGCTGTCTACGCTGCACTGGGTCCATTTGCACAGGAACATTGTGTAGCAAGGCCTTTCGACCGTTCTGGCAATATGGGAGACCGCCATCACGCGTGTGCTACATGACCACAAGTGTACAACCAGCAACACTAGATTGAACATGGTGGAATCTCTTCCGTCACAAGCCCACGGCCTGGACCCCCCCCCACCGGGCCAAACGGCTTTTTGGCACAGCCGCGGGCTTGCTTCAAGGTCGAGAACCCCTGAAACTTGTCTCGACTTGGAATTTCGGCTTGGATGCCCCTCCGTCCAGCTGGACGTCGCTCGGAAAGTGGGCGCAAGTGCTTCCTCCTCCTCCTCCTCATCCTTCCTCCCCCCCGCCCATCTTCCTCCCCCCCCCACCCCCAAGCTAGCCAGCTCTTTGCAAAGTCTTCAAGGTCGACAACTTTTCGCGAAAGGAGCTGCGGGCGAGCAAGCACTCTGGGGACGCATCGGCAATGGCATCGCCGTCTGGTGAATAGCCTGTAGGGATGGCGGATGCATGCTCGTTCAATGCGGCCTTATGGTTATGACCTATCTCGCCCACAGAGGCCACAAATCCAGGAATCAGCAAAAAACTCAAAGTAAGCTTTAAAATCTCGATCTGGACAACTCCCAATCTGGGAAGACTCAGGAAAAAACAGAAACAACCTCAGCCTTGAACGAAATCTGCAGTTCTCTCCCAAGAAAACACAAAAAACTCAAACAAAACTCAACCACAACCCAACAAACTACAAAAACAACTCAGACACAAACTCAAACAAACTCAGCTCCAAACTCAGCCTCAAACTCAAAAGGGGGGGGTCGAGTTCAAGGCTGTTTGTTGAGCTTTTCTTAGTCGTCCCTTGTGTTTTTTTCAGTGTTCTCCATGCTTTTTGAGCCTGGTTTTCAGTTGATTTTTTGTGGCTGAGTTGGCTTTGGAGCTTCTTTTGTTCCGCTGAAGCCCCGTTGTGCTCGTCTGGTCACAGCTTTACGGCCCAAGGAGTTGCACTCAAAAAACCGGAGGCGAAACAACATCTTACAACACACACACACACACTTACGCATCCTTCCGCCAACCCGAGACCTATTGCGGGGTTTCCCTTTCGATGTGGGGGAGGGACCCCACTCAAATACTCCTGCCTTGGAAGGAGGAGCTCATGAAGTTGAGGTACAAGACCTGTCGAGGCTCAAATTCCTGGTTCGCCATGCCCCAATGAATTGTCCTGGAGTCGTAGATCACGGCATCTCCAACCCCCAACGGAGCGCCAACCAGCAGATCTGGGGCTGGGGGCAGGTCCCGCGCATCTGGGGCGCGCAGAATTTGCAGCGAGATGGCCTCTTGCAGCTCTGGTATCTGTCGCTGCACTCGGTGCCAGGTGGCAAAGCCTCAGCCAAGCCTTTGGTCCCTTGTGGCATCCATGACTGTGCTTCACAAAACAATCACCTCTTAGATGAGGTACTTCAGGCCTGAGCAAATGTTTCTGGAGGCACCGCTCCGGTTTGGCGAATTGCTGAAGGACACCCTCCTAAAATATTTTACCAGGTTGGTAAATGGCACCTTTGCGCGCAACCTCGCTGCCATTTGGCAGTGGCCATAAATTTGTATGGGATGATGGAGGGGTGACGGCTTGCACCTCTGCAAGTATTGCAAGGGGCGCACCAAGTGCCTGAACCAATTACTTTTCACGCCTCGTTGAAATGGAGAATTGCCCTTTTCTTATGGCTTTCACGCATGCTGTCCAAATGGTTAGCCTGCAGACCGGGAACACGGGAAAAGGACCACAGCTGTGTCTTTCATCATCTCTCTCCAAAGGCTTAATAGATTTTCTCTAGCTTTGAGACGGCTTTCATGCATCTTTTCTCAAACCCCCGGGAAATCCATCGGCCAAGCAGCTCATCTCGTTGACGCCGGTGATTTCATCTCCAACTTCCAGGCTGCCGTGCCGCACTTTGGCGACACGGGCGCTCCTCAGGGCGGGTTGGCGGAAGCAACACACAGTCGTAAGATCGCGAAGAATCAGACCCTTTTCTTGGTTGCAGCGGTTAGCTATGGCTGAAGGCACTTGGTAGCGGCTTTCGCAGTTCTTTGCGTGGCTCAATCTGCCACTCACGCACTGCAATGACGCAACCTTGTTCGCCAAGCCAGGATCTCTCATCATAGCGTTTGGGGACCCGTTGCGCCACCTTTTCCCCTCACGTTTGCAGCGCACTGTGAACAAAGTAATGAATGCTTTCAAAGCATTTCAAGTTTTGGGATTGCAGTAGCGCACAGATTGCAATCAACATTTCACCAGCGGTCTTGCCGCGTGGGTTTTGACTCTTGTAAAGTATTGACAGTTCCCGTTAGTCTCAATCTAAAAGTTCGCTTGCCTTCGTTTTCTTGTGAAGTATGACGTTGTCCTACTCCCTGTGCATTCAGTTTGATATGGATCCGCATCGCCCCAGGATGAATGCTCCCCGTTCTGGAAGCATTCTACTCAGAATTTTCAACATCTAGGCGGCTGTAAGGTTTGAGCGCAACATGATGCAACCAGCTTCAAATCCGTTTCATGGTTGAACCTATCCCTTTGGTCTAAGAAGTAGCCTGTCAGCTTAGTGAACTTCTGCTTGGGAGTATGGGAAATAGGGTAGCCTCAAAAAAATCTCTCGCACACGCCGCGCCCCACCTCCTCCCAATCTTCAGGTCCACTGACTCAAGAAGTGGCATCTCGTCGTTCCAAAGGATGGTGATGGCTTCTCTTCTCCTCAGCTTCCATTCGATTTGCCCCTGGAAACTGAGAAATGTCCAGTGATCAATTCCCTTTAAAAGCAACAAGGGAGAAAACACATTCTTAAGCCAATGGAAGTCAACAAGAAGAAGCGTATCAGGGTGAAAGTAGATGTCGCTGTTCACCCCATATTCCTGTAATTTGATGATGAAAACTAAGTGGTGAGGTTGTGCCGCCTGCCTTCACCCAACCGTACTTGTGCACTGTGACGGCTTCATTTGTTGATGCGCGGCATGAAAAGCCCGGGCATGGTTGTGCAAGGATGCAGCTGCAGCGCAATCTCTGGCTTTTTTGGCAATGAATGCGCATTTGTTCTAATACTTTTCTGCCATGTTCTGCGCTCGCCTGCGATTGCACCACCCCGCTGAGAGTATGCTTCTGCACGCGCGTCTTTGTGAACGTTTGCGCGGGTGACGGCTCACTGGCTTCAGAGGTGCACACGCGCATGCGCTTGTTGAAGTAGTGATGGCTTGCATGTCGCTTCCCCACCATGTGACCACACTCATTAAGCCACTGATCAATGTGCCCAAACTCAGACCCAGAAAGTCGGATCCATTTGATATCATCCCCACATTCTGGTGGCTGACGACTTGGAGTATGTGCTCATCCAATATTAGGTCCATAGGGTCCGACTTTCTGGGCCCATGGCCGGCCCACTTGAGATGATGAAGCAGCCCTTGTAAACAAAGCGCTACACGAGTCTCTCGGCACATGGACAGCTCGAAGCCGTGCCGAGGGGCACGGAGTTTCCTGCGGCAATGCGCTGCCGGGCCTCTGTTGGAGACTCGTTCTTGCAGCGCCAGCGCCGGACCTGCTCTGCAGCGCGATCCAGGAGTTCTACGTCCGTATGGGTCCCAAGGCAGAAGGACAGCGGCGCAAATTTTGCTGTCAGTGGCTGAAGAGGTATGTGCACGGAAACGCTTCCTTCGTCTTCGGTGTCTGTGTGGGCATTCTGCGCCGGAGTTTGCCCATCAACCGTAATAACTAACGCGCTCTCCAGCACAAAGTCCGGGCCCAAATAACCAGAGAGCAGCGGGTGCAGCTCCGCACCCTCCCCTAGCAATGGGAAGCTGCTGAAGGGCTCTCGGAAAGGCAAATGCACCGCAGATCGCTGGGTGCGCAAGTCGCCGAACTTGAAACGCCTCAACGGCCAGGGAGCCCGCATTCGTTGTCAAAAGCCACATACTTGGATTGGTTTTGAGAAGGCACTGGTTTTGAGCTATTTCTTTTGCGACTGCTTCAGCCAAAGTAGTGGGCAACTGCGAGAGCCGCTTTCAGTTCGGAAAGGAACGCTGTAAGGACACATTCCAGCAATGGAAACACATGGTCGGAAGCTAACTGGTCCGAAAATGACCAAGCAGTTTCAAGAACTTCATATCTTGGAAGCTCGCGCAACGCCTTTACAGGGGCCCCGATCCTGCCGCGAAACCGGTTTTGACCGTCTGTTGCCTGTGAAACTACTGAAGGTCACTCCTTCATTCTTCCTTTGGCAGGGGTCGCCGGATTTCACCTGCAACACTTGCAGATTCCTCACAAATCCGCTTTACATTGCCACTTTGGGCCGTCACCCCAACGGAAACGGAGGGACCCTCTTTTTGAACCCGGCCAAAATTTGGCACCGGCCGGGCGCCTCTCATCCACGTCCCCGAAGTGAGCACGCAGCGCGTCCAACCTCTCCGCGCGGAAGAGGCCTGGCAGGGCTGCCGCCCCCAGCTTTCGCAGCGCCAGCTTGGGGCGCCGCGATAGGTCCAGCAAGGACCAGGCCTGGAGCCATGTCGCCCCCAGCGCCAAGCTCAAAACGAGCGACGCGCGGCGCATGGCGAAAGAAAAGACGGGAAGGCAGCTCAAAGGAAGAGCCGGTGAATTACTTGTATTAATCGCATGCTCCGAGGAGTAATCCCAATAAACAGGGCAACCTGCAAGGGTTATCGGAAACACAAACAATTCAAGGAATCTATGTGCCAAGCAGCGGGCACACGATTGCCATGATTCTTCAAAGAGTTGCCCTCGGTTGTCACTGTTTTAAAAGGGCGCAACACCTGGTCCGGGAAGCTCACATGTTGCTCACATGGCCTCATGCTGTACGCCGAGCCAAGTTGGGCAACGGTTCCAAACCGCGCGAGCCACATCAACATGAGGTACCACCCAGTCTTTCCCATAAAAGGGAAAATGGAACCACACATGGAATTCCAGGGGTCACCCCCCTCCCCAATTCCATTTTTAAGGGTCTGGTGATGAGGTACCTTGCTGTAAGGTGTTCTGCGCAAACCTGAGCCATGCAGCAGCACACAGGCAGCGCCGGGCCATGGTTTTTAAGCACGCAGCGACAAACTTCACATGCGCCAGTCTTGCTTCCAGCTCAGCACAGGTCTGTTTCACTTCTCACCCCTCTGGGTTGCACCGAAGTTCAAGTAGTAGGTCTGAGCTCGAAACTTTCTCGACTTCATGTAGCGCTCATCAGGTGTCAGACAACTCCGTTCGGAGCATGCAACGTGTCTGAAATGTGTTCTACGGCCTCTACCTGGCCTGTTGCGTCCTTCTCTCACACCTTCTGGCCCTCATTTTGCACACAGCTTCCATGGTTTTTCTTAGCGCAACATAGGCCTCGACATGAATTCCAGCACTGCCTGCCATCTATGAGTGCTGGCCCCTTGGTTTATCCCAGCACGCCAGATCCGACGGAAAACGATGGCATGCCTGGCCTATCTTACAAGTAACTTCGTCACCCAAGCCCCAGCGTCCTCCTGGAAAAAAACAACAGCTAGCCGAGTCCACTCTGCCACGAATTACTTCCTTGAGGACATGTGAGATGGGTTTGCACTTCGTTCCATTAACCACTCTCAGGTGCAAAAGGGTCCTATTGAATGCAGTTTAGTCGGTGCGGGGCTTTCCCAATGTGCCGAACCTTTCTCCCTGGCACCCGTCATTTGCACGGGGGCTAAGTACCCATCATACCTGAGGTGTGCGGTTCAGAGCTTGCACAGCGGGATCTTTCATGCACTTCCCAGCTGCAATTCCTACTGCCCTGCACAGGGCTGCACAGGGCACAGCCTGCGCCACAGGGCTCAAGACTGAGCAACCATCCGCCCCGATGTGGCCAGCTCATTTGCATCAGACCCTGCAGGCAGGCTTCTCGGGTCTCTCTCTGAACGGGTTTCTGTCTGCACACTCACTCGGGGGGGTTGGGGTTTGTAATTTGGGCAATTCCTACATCCAAAGGTCAAAGTAGACATCCCCGAGGCCCCTGCATGCGTGCATGCAGTTGGGGGAAGATGGGTGTGCGAGCCACACTTCAAGCTTGCGAGTCTTTCCTGCGTTTGTGAGTCTGAGACCCCTCATGCCCTCTCCAAATTTCCTAGCAGATAAAAAAATGTAGTCTACATGGGCTGTAGCTCAATCCCATAGAGCTTGAATAGGTCAAAGCCCAGGCTTTGAAACTGCTCTCTGCTCATTTCCAGCCCAGCGATTGAACTAAGCCAAGGAACCATAAGTCAAAGGCATGTGAATCTAGCAATCAGATGGCACCCCATGGATTGGGGGCTTTAAAGTTACCCCGTAGATGGTGCAGGTGGTCAAAAAACGGCACCCAGGGGTTCGACATGGGGACTATTTGAAGTTTTTTCGAAAAAAGGAGTTCCCAGTGACCTCTCAGATGCCCAGTGGACCGTTTTTTCTTTTGGTTGAAAGGGGCACCCCCCCCAAGAACAAGTTGAAAAAAAGGGGCGGAGCCCACCTCTGTCTGGTGCTGGGCCAAGCTACGGGGCAGGCTCCGGCTCGCTGCTGTCCCTGGACTTGGGACGCCTCGGGTGAGGCTATGCTGAGCCCGAAAACTCGCGGACTGGGAAGATGGGTCCTGGAGGTTTCTGGTTTCTGATGGAATCTTGCGATCGGTGCGGTAGCTAGGGAGTGACAACGAGTCCGGGTGTTGGGGATGAATCGTTTGGGGATTCCCTTCAAGGAAGCCATAGGGGATGGCTTATTGGGGCTGAGAACCAGCAAGGAATGTGGGGATGAGCCTGCACCAACCACATTTCGCTTTCCTCGGTCCTGACAAAATCCTGGACGTGGATGGCAGCCGTATCCATCCCGCAGCCACCACGCACCCTTCATTTGCGGCCAAGCGTCTCTGGCTCTACTCCTCGCCGGTGAGAAGGGTCACCCACAACATGCCCCCAAAATGGGTCCGGGAGTTGTCGGGGGTGTACCGTCTTTTTACCCTCGGGCCCTAGGGTTCCCCGGGAGATGATTTGTGTTCGGCTCAGGTACGCCCCGACGATGAGCTCTTCGAGGGGGGGGAGGGGTTGGGTGGTGGTGGTGGTGGTGGTGGTGGTGGTGGTGGTGGTGGTGGTGGTGGTGGTGGTGGTAAAAAAGCAATGTTTGATGCTCGTTTCTCTTGACAGCTGTTTAGCCCTCAATCCATATTTCCAGAGTTAGGTCTGTTCCGGACGCAGCCTATTTGCTGGCGCACGTTCTACTTCTCCGCGTTGCTGGCCCTTCCCCTCCGCATTTGGATCTTCAGCCACTTTGGCAGAGGCGAATGTTGGATCTCGATGAAGCTCACATGGTCCTTTGTCAGGATGTGAGTGACCCCGCTGTTCTGTCTGCAGTGGGGATCATCATGCAAGAGGCCACATGGGCCGTCGCACAGGCATAGACTTCACTTTGCTGCATCCCAGGCGAGAGCTTTTGACAGAAGCTGCCCTTAGAGTTGCCGGCGGTGATTTTAGCCTTGCAGTAGCGTCGACCCTGGTGACCCTCCGAAGACGAATGGACATCTTTGAGAATCCTTCATCAGCTTCAGCCTTGACAGCCCCACGAACACCTTCTCCGCAAAGGTGCCGAGAGAACCTTGTGTGAGTATATCAAGTATTTCTCGATGGCTTTACGTTTACCTACTCGGTTGGAGCTGTAGGGAAGCTTTTTAGACACAGTGTAAGGACGATGCCAGTGACTCCTCAGACGGGGCGTTCGGAAGCCGCTTCCCTGCAGCAGTGGAGCCCGTTTCACGTGGAGTCCGAGTGGCTTGGCCTTTCTCACGAAGCAGGAACGTTTTGTCGTTTGCCGCGCTTGTGTGAAGCCGACCCAGTTGCTTTTCTGCGCTTCCAAGGAACGAGGCGCCTGAAGAGCATGATTCAGTCGTTCCCTCACAGCCTGGCCCGAGCAATCCAGTAGCCTACGGCGCCGCCTCTTACCCTACCCCTGCCCTCTCTACCGTGTCGCCGAGGACGGAGCGCAGGTTCTTCCAGCTCACATTTGACGACCCAGGCTGCGTGGCGTCTCCCGTGAGAGGAGATGAAAGCCCACACCATAAAAGGCTGAAGCTTTGGTACCATCAAGAAGTCGCTGAGGACCCTTCCATGATGATCGCGGAGCCCGCATCTTCCTCATCCTGTCCACCTGCTGTTGGCTTGAGCGAGCAAACCGCGGAGCCCGCATCTTCCTCATCCTGTCCACCTGCTGTCGGCTTGAGCCAGCGCCGTGTTGTTTGAGCCTCGCGAGCAGCAGCGCGCAGAAACTTTGCCTCGCACTTTTAAGTGGGGGCAGCGCCCAAAGTGCACGCCTTCGCTAGCCCTCCATCCACAAGTTCCCGTGACGGGAAGGCTTGCTGGCAGATACGTACTGCGGTGCAACAATTTCAATCGTTCCAAGCTGGACGGTGCAAGGAAGTGTTGGCACCAGCAGCCGTTTCAAAAACCAGATGAGGCGCATGAACCTGCTGTCTTCTGTTTCACGTGACAAGATCGAGCATAGAAACCTCCTTTGTGCCCACTATTTGAACAGAGAGCCTGGGAGAGCGGCTGAAGGCTTGTCAAGCCCTTCAATTGCTTTTAAGCAGCCGCTGTGGGACCTCTAACTATGTAATTAGACAAGCTTCTGATGACAACCAGCCGGGGAAAAAAAAAACAACGTCGACTATCAGTGTTCCTCTTCGTGCAAAGGATGCTGGATCTATTGGTTTTACCAGTGCGTTGAGGTCTCGTGCATGAAATGCCCTCTGGACGCTGTGATTTTTAGCACCTCCGGTGCGAAGCTGAGCTTGCCTTTGTTCGAAAACGAGCAAACACCCAGGGTTTTTTTACCAGGCGGACTGCGAGCAAAGGCCATGGCAGGGGTTTGCTGATGTCACCTGCCGCGAACAATATGTTCGCGGGCCTGAAGATGTTGTTTCCGACTCGCCCAACGTGTTTCTCCATTCAGATGCAGTGGAATTCGCAGTTTCATGATCAGGCCGAAGTGAGTGCTGCCATGAGTTTTCGGGGAACCTAAGGGCCGGACCGACTTTTTACAGGACAAACAAAAGTGGTGGTTTTCCTTTTGGTTTCCCAACGCCTTTCTACATAAGTTGCAAGTCCCGTCTGGAGCAGGGCGGTCTACCTGCACCCACAGTTAGTTGGCAGCCGTATCGATCACTTGGAAACGAGTGAAAGGGGCTGCCTGCCAAAAAGGAGCGCAAGCCGCAAAGCTTCATGTGCTCTCCAAATTGTTGCATGCACAATGTTCAAACATGAGCTCTGGGTGTTGCATGCACACAAGCATGCAAATACAAGCCACCACATGTTTAGATTTATAACCATCAACCTGCGTAAGGGATCTTCCGACCGTGTCAACATGGGGCACCTTGGGCTGGCTCACCCGTGGGTCAAGTTGCTGCCCCTTCACAGCCAATTCACATACCAACCCACACAGAACAGTCTTCATGAACAGAAAATGGTCTTCAGGCGCCTTTGGCCATGTTCGGTTGGAGGGTACGTGCAGCAATCTGGCTGTGCAAAGACTAAAAGGACCAGGGTTCGGAACATGTATTGGCACGGCCCATCATGATTTAGTTTGTCGAACGCAGTGAAACGATTGCTTTCTTTGCGTGATCTCAAAAAGATGTGCCCTGTCGACATGCGATGCTCCCAGCTTGCGTGTGACACGTGAGCCATGGCGGCCACCAATTCGAATGCCACAAGGCAGGCAGCTGGACGTGGATGCTTACAAATTCGTTGGCCATCGGCATCCAAAATGGCTTGGACCAACTGCGCGCCAACCTGGAGCAGAGCTCAACCTTGTGGGCCAAGCCCAGCTAAGAAGAAAACAAGTCAAGCAGTCATGCCACACGTACAAATGCACACACACACACACAAAAGCATCGGCCCTCCCCATCCGGTCCTATCAAAGTGCCGCCCGGAACGGCTCCGTCCTTGGATGAAAACAACGGATAGCCCCGAGGTCTTCGGTCGGAGCAAAATCCGTTGGACATTCCGGCGAAGTGAGGATTGCATTACGGCAGGAAAATTCACCCACGCGCCGGCACGCCTTTGCCATGCCTCCTAAGCCGCTGTTGATTTGAAACTGGCCAGTGAGGTGCGTCCTGGAGCCTGTACTCTTGTTCAATATCAAATGGCCGGATGGCCACGCCCATGAGCCAAAGATCATGAGGTAATGCCAGGGCTGATGCCAGCGCAATTCCCATCATTTCAACTCGCGGTTGCACAAACTCTGACTTACGCTTTGCTTGCTGCTTTGAGCTTGCGGTCAAAGATCTGCATGGATAGGTGAAGCCAGGCTTGGGGTTGAATTCAGCAAAAAAAACATATGGGTGCGGTTAGTTTGGTCGAGCCTCTCAAATTGCAACATGAGGCCACTCAAAGTGAAACGGACATCGTATGTCATGCGCCCTTCACATCGCAAGCTCAGGCCCGAGCGAAGGGCATGACCTTGCTCATGTTCATTGTAGCCGCCTTGGGCGGAAAGCTGTGAAGGGCCCGCCCAAAAAACCTGAGGCTTGATGCAAGCAGCATGTTGGTGACTGGTGCGAGATCAAAAAAAGAAGAAGTCATGCTCAAGACTTGTTTGATCCGACATGCCTTGTGGTTTTTGGTTCCCGAAGAAGCAATTGCGACAGCCTCCCTATATGAACAATGACAACTGGGCGGAGTTGCGCCAGCTGCAACTCGCAATCTCTGGATGTCATCTTTGTCAGCTGACCCGGCTTCACTGCTCATTAGTATGGCCAACTGCTGCTCTGACAGCAAAGCAGGTGGTTGCATTTTGCACAGATTATCTCAGTTGCCCAGAGGACCCAAACATACAAGGTTGACTTTTTGGGGTCACTATGGGCCAAACCAGGGAGCTTGAATCGATTGGCTTGCAACTGGGCTCTCTATGTCCCCCAAATCTTGTGACCTCTTGGCCCAAAGCCTCAAAGTCCAAGCCCAACAGCCCCGGGGGCTTGGGAAGGGCGACGGCGATTTCGCTGGCATGGCACGGTTAGCCACAGGTGCGGCGCCGGATCATCGTCAATGTCACCTCGGCTTTTCTGGCCATCGGCCGTGGCGGCTGAGCTTGGAGCTGTGCGGCTGCTGCGGTTCTTGCCATGTTGCTGCTACTTCTCCGGTTTTGTTGCCACAACCGCTGTTGGGTGTTGGTGCCTTTGGTAGGAAATGACCGTTCGAAAAGCAAGCCGCACCCGCCCAGGCTGGAATAGAACATGATGCCCGACACGCGTGAGAAACTCTTGCACCAGGTTTCTTGGGCAAATGGGCCGCGCCCTCGCAATGGGCAACAAGCCCGAGGAAGTTCACACCTACACGTCTTCTCGCACCCACTCTCCTGACTATGGCAGCCCTGCCACGGCTTCTAGCTCCTCCAGTAGAGAGGTTAGAACAAGTTGGTACCTTCCTTTTTTGGCATCTATTTGAGGTTAGAATAAGTTGGTACCTTCTGTTTCTTGCAGTCATTTTGAGTAGGGGCACCCTTCCCCAGAAAAGAGAGAACCGGTCCAAGGGCGCCACTTGCCGGGGGCCCTGGGCTTGCCGCTTCCAGGCCGAGGGGCCGCCGGCCTTCCAGCGGGCCTCCGGCACGGGGACCTCGGCGGCTCAAACGAGACCTGAAACCGTCCGCTGAACCTCCGGGGAGTCGCACTCAAAACCATGGACTTGAGTCTTCAGAGTACCATGGGAGCATTTCAAGCCGCACTCAAGTTGAACCTGAGAGGAGTATTGAAATCGCCGATCCCCAGAATGGAAAGAATCAGGAAGGCGGATCTCCGCAGCTATTTCTGGCCGGGACTGCCCCTTACCAACCTTCATCTACCCGGGTTTTGATTGTGGCTCAGGGGGAGAAACGTTAGTTGGAGATGGGTAGGTTTTGGTGTAATTGGTGGACATCCGGGTAAAAAAAAGAAAAAGAGCATGCGGAGTCATGTCTGACTTTTTCGGGGTGTGATCATAGTGTTTTAAGTGATATGGCCAGTGCTCCACTCAGATACGGCATGGGATCTGCCCAGTTTCACTTTGTATGCTCTGATGTCCTTCGCCCTCGCTTGGGTATTTGGGGTCTCGGGGTCGGGATTCGCATGGAGTGGCAAGCCTCAACGGAACAAACGCCCAGGAGGAAAAAACAACACCGCCAGCTTGCGCTAGTTGGCGAACTTTTCGGCTCCAAGTTTAAAACTGCCGAGCTCCAATAAATGCCCTGCTTCCAGAAAAATGTGTATGCTAACATACCCACTCACCTGTGACAGGAGCTGCCGTGTGAGCCTTGGGGCAGCACACGGATGCTATGCAGCGGCGTGAGCACCAGTACTGCTCGGGCTTGCAGCTGAGGCAAGGGGGGTTGCAACCGTACTAACGAACGGGTGCTCAAAGGTCTTCAAATGGCCCTGACTATCCCTAAGGGCATGCTAACATGAACTGGGAACGTGCCAGCATCTTGGTTTTCCTAGGCGAAGCTCTTGTGCCACCAGTGCAAAGCAAACGAAAACATCGGTGCCCATATCAATGTATTATCTATGCAGTCTGCATAGACAACAATTGGAAGGCGTAGCGTCACCAGCTGTGCTAAGGACTGACGCGTAAAGCATGCCCGTTGTCTTTCACGCACCCGGTGTGGACCAAAAGGGTTCGAAGTTCACATAACATCACATACAGTGGATGGACGAACTCCACCACTTGGAAGTCATGGTTGACACCATAACGTTGGTTGGTATTTACAGGGGAAATCGAATCATTGCAGGGAATCTTGGTTTCTTCGGTGCAGCATTTGTGAAATTGCAAAGGTGAGGGATCTTGGCATTCTTTCCATGCGGTCCCAACTCAAGATCTCTGTCAGTCTCTGACCCTGACCATGCCACAGTGCCCAACGAATACAAAGACAAGCACCCGCCCCGCCCCGGCCCCCCAGAAGCTCTGGAGAGCTACTTCGGGATGCAGGCAAGTCGCCAACCAATGGATCACCTTGGCTGCATGGTGAGACAAACTCCTGTGGTACCCTTTCGCCGGCGCAGCGAGCGTACCCCAATGCCACTGGACAAGAATCCTTGGCCAGTGCATCTTCCAAAAACATGTTTCTTGATGGCCAGCTTTGGGATTGGCCGACCATCGATGCAAGCTAGGCGCAATGTTGAAGAAGTTTACACCGGAGGCGCTGGCGATCAATGCGCCTCCTTTGCCCATGGTCAGGTCAATCCTCCAGCGTCACCGTGCTTTTCACTCTCACGCGCACGAAGAGCAACACAACTCAGCCCCACAAATGCATCTGTAATCATACGCATACCGACCCGACGCAAGCGCAAACAACCACACCTACACACCTTTGACACACCTCCCACGCGCCTACTACACACCTATCATATATCTACTGCACGCGTACTACACACGGACTGTGATTCCGCCGCATTGCAGAAACGTGGCTTCAGCTATTCCAGTGTCTGTCCTGAAGGTTTGACCTGCGTCCTCCAAAGGGAACTCTGCAACACAGAAGGTATGGAAGATGCTGACCGCCTGGGCCACGAGGTGACCATTGCCAGCCATGCGGCTGTTCCAAAAAAAAGAGGAACACACCTCTCACATGGCAGGAGGGCGGTTCAAAGCTGGTCCAAAGCACTGAGGCCACGACCAGGCACAGCTGAAGTGCTCCAAAGATGTTGCTGATGATTGCAAGGCCTTAGAATCAATACCGCCACACTTGTGCGAGGATCATATGAACAAGAAGCATTCAGTCATGAACATGGTTCCTGGTTTGACTGAACCAGCCATTCCAAAGAAATGGGCGCAGCATGAGCAAAGACAGGAGACATCTGCAAACCAACGACCTTTTGAAACATGTAGCATCAGAACTCTCGCGGCGGCCGGAGCTGGTGCAAACCACTTGGTGTGAAGCCATCCCTGCGTGGCCTAATGTTCAATCCAATTGTTGCTCGCAACTCCACAAATGGAGGCAAGTAGAAGTTGCAATGTGTCGTGTGCTTTCCGGCCGCCCCGTGGACGTGGAGTCACCTCTGGATGGATGCATCTAAACCGCCCGTCCACGAATCGTACGTACAGTGTACGCCCCAAATGCAGGCAGAAGCATGCACACACACACACACACAACAAAAAAACAAGTCGGACAGTGCCTCTGACCAGCTGGGGAAAAGCAGGGATGCAGTCTCTGAGCGCTTGGGCATCCGGGCTTTTGATGCAGTTGTGGTCGTTCTGTGCGCGCATTCGCTGGATATCCGTCCACACATTCACCAAGCCTGCGGCAGCGCACTGGTCCGTTTTGGAGGGGGGATGGCAGCCTCGAAAAATAGGCGTATTCGATCTGGGCGCAGTAATAGTCCAAACTGGAAGCGAGGAATGTTCCAGGAAGGGATCTTCATGGGTGAGATCGTTTTATCCCCGGGCAAGCTCGTTACAGTTTGCCCAGATTGGATGCTCATGATTAAAACATGTGCCAAGCCAGAATGTCAACAGCAAGTGACCTAATGTGATCGCAGGGCCGAGTTGCTTGACCACTGCGCGAGGCAACATGTCTCTGAACAGGATGGCTCAAAATGTCACCCTTGTTCTCAGCTGAGCGTGATCCTTTCGCGCCCCCTAGAAATTAGAAGGGGCAGCCAGGCGGGCGTTTGAACGCCTTAGGCCGGGAGACGAGCTATGCTCGTAGATTTGAGAGTTCCGACGGCACCCAAAGTCCATGCACAAAGAAGCCGTCAGTGACTCAAAAGACTCAAACGCATGTATCACTCAAATGCTGCTAATTTTGCTGGTTCCCAGCAGGGAATGAGGGGAATATGACCCCATCAAGCACCCAACTGGTGGCTTTTGCTCAAAGGAAATTCCCCCCAAGACCTTTCACTCCAACACCCGGACTCGGAAAATCCCGGACCCTACCATCCACCGTCCCTGACTCACCCGTTTCGTTTCAACCAACCCGGGCTCGGAAAATCCGAGCGATCGATTCCGATTCCGCCTGTGGCGATGGAGGTAAAGGCCATGGCGGCGCAGGCCTTGGAGGCGTAGTCGCAGATGCGGCAGTAGGACCCGGCGCCCAGAGAGCTCAGATTCCTCGATCCAAACCGTGTGGAAAGCACAAAAACCACCCGGGGAAACTGCGTTCTGGCAGTTTGTGGCTCACTTCCTGAAAAAAAAAGGCAATTATGAAGTCCAAATGGTCTATGAACTCAGGGAGTGAGATGGGGAGACCGGTGGCTTCATGTTCAACTAACTCGAAATCGACTTTGAGCTAAAGGATATCGAGCGCTTCAGGTTTCACTGAAAGTCCTGATTCAGCCTCTAGATGTTCTTTACTCAATACGTGCAATATTTGACTGCTGTCCATCTTGAGAAACACCTGCTCGAGTAAGAATGACTCATCTCAACGCGGTGGAAGAGGGCAACCTTCTGTTGAAGGTGCGTCAAGTTGGATAGCCATCTTTTGGCCGGCGGTCCGGTTTCCAGCAAATGCACGCCCTGGCCTTCTGAATGTCTGTCCTGAAGTCAGCCGGCAACACTGACATTCTTTAAATTGACTGCAGGTGTGGCAAAACTACATGAAGTAAAGCAAAGCGAACCATTTCAAATTTCCGAAATTGCAATAAACCGGGTACGCTTCACAGGCCCCGACACCCAGGTGCGCCCCAATTTGGCCACTCCGAGTGTCTCCACGCAGTTGTCAGCGCCCCACTGGATGACCTGAACCGTTCTTCACTTGCAATGGGCTTGGGCGATGCCGACAATCACAAACAATACCCCTCGAAAAGAGAGGGAACAAAGCAAACCCGGTGAAGATTTTCCCAACCCGATCGGCCTGGTAGAGCAATAGACACAACAAGTACGACATCTGTTCAAAGAAGTCTTTAGGTCGCCCAATTCGCTGGACTAAGTCAAGCGTACTGTATCTTGGCTGACGTTGGAAGGGGAGCAACAATTCTCAAATTTTAGCAGTTGTGTGGTTGGTTCTCAACCACTAAACCACAATAAGCACAAATAAGTAAACTGTTTCCAACGACAACCATGGTATCTCCACCGGCCTTGTAGATGTTGAAGTTGGTGCTGTCCACCAGCAGCGCCTCAAGGCCAATGAAGACATTGGCCTCCAAGCCCTCGCACATATCCTTCCTGAGCTGAGACGGATGGATCCTCCCAGATCCATTTTGCTCATGATGCCTCACTCTGCCGTTGCATCCAGAGGGTCTTGACTCAGCAAGGCAACGAAAACGGCGCCCACCGATGCATTTTGCTCATGCTGCCCTTTTCCTTTTTTTTTCCCTCCTTACTTCTTGGAAGCCTGAGCCATTTTGAAACAAGCAGGGCCTGTTCCCGGTTCCACCGCGAAGGAACCCCACACTTCATACAATTTGAAGTTGTGTCATCCGTCTGGCATTCACAGGGCGTATGGAACTCTTGCGGCGTCTGCTTTGGCAAGTTTTCTTTGAACATAGCAAAGACAAGCAAAGTAGGTTGGGAACACATTGCCTGGACATGCTGCAGGGCGTCCGGGGGAATGCAGCCCTTTTTTCCTTACAGCCGCAAGTGCGGACTACACAAAAACAACATGCCGAAAGATGCACGTGGCATGACATGCCAACTTCAGATCAACCGGGATCATGCTTAATGCAGAAGGGCCATGCGTTCCAACCTGCAACAATCAAACATACAGGTATTGCATTGTTGTCTGAGAGATTTTCTAGCAACCGCCACACACCGCCGGAAATCCGTAGGACTAGTAGCTTACCTTCCGCTTCCAATGCAAGCCCCCCTCCTTCGCCCACAGATTCGTATGAACGATCTCTCAGCCAAGCCGCTGAATGCAAACATACCTCCCGTACGCCTCGGCACGGCATTTTGCGTTCTACTTCCTTCCCACAGGTGTCAGAGCTTGCACCAAATGAGGGCAGAATGGATGGCCATGGTGCTCGCATAAGCACATCCCTACACCCACGCAAGGGAAACCTAATCCGGAAGGAGGACACCGTAAGCCTAACTAGAGGTATTGAATAGTCAGGGAGGGTTTCTGGGAGAAACTGGCAGACATTTGGCTCAAGGGAATGTAAAGCAATCCAAACCAATTTTCTACCCTCTTGGCTGGCTTTGAGCAGACGCCCTGCCACCCAGCTGCGGCCGTTAGGGGGGGGTTCCTTAGCACCCCGGGTGCCGGAAATGAGGGGGAAACTGACCGAAAACAGATTCTGCGCGTCACCTTCCCAGTGCCCAGCCAGCCCACCAAGCTGCCCAAGGCCACGCGTTCAAATTGCCAGTGTCCGACGAGAGCGCTGCTGCAGGCATCGCCTTGGGCTACATGGATGCAGAAGTCCCACGGGCTAAGCTGATGGACCAAAACTCATCAAATCTGCGCAACTTGGGGCCAAGGTTTCTTGTGGTTTCCCAAGGTTTCCCGCGGGTCTTTCCGTGGGTTTCCTCTAGGTTTCCCACGGCCCCACGGTTTCCTGCAGGGTTTGTTGCGCCATCTTGCTCGCTTTTTGCTTGTTGCAAATGAGAGGCAAAAGGTCAGGAAAGCCAGTGCCAAGAGTTTGCCCAAGCGTACTTGAAAGGGAGCAACCACGTGCAAAGCAAATACTTCTCAGCATGCATTCTAGCACATTCTAGCACATTTGTCAAATGCAACTGTACTTTTCGGCTTGGGATGGCCGTCCTGATAAGGGGGGGGGATGCTGGCCTTTCCTTCCATCAACCATACAGTCTCAAGGCCAAGGGCCTCAGGTCAGGGTACAAACAGCTCAAATTTGGGACCCACAGCAGCGTGGTCTTTCGTTTTGGCTCGGTAGGTAATTCCTTCTTCCAAGGTGAGACCCCCTTGGGTGACGTCTCCAAGAGGCCCCAATTAGACAGTTGTGACGGGATGTTCAAAGGAAGCCAAGCATTCAACGCAAATGCGGCACCTGATTCCTGAAAGCAATGTTGCACGGTCTGTTTTCCCCAACATCAGGCAACATCCCTTGAGAACAACCAGAGCAAAGTGCGGTGCTATGGCGTCGCTTAAACAACCCAAGGGTCATTCCCCTGTGCTCTCCACCCGTCGCTGGCGAGAAAGCGACACGAACTCAGCCAAGGAGCCCGAAGCAGCATGCTCACCATGGTCAGGCACAATGACAGCATCCTGGGAGCTCAGCTGAGCCAAGATTTCTCGGTGAGGTCGGACCCCGCAAAATGGTGGCAGGCCTTTTGTTTTTTCCTTCAAAGCCACAAAATGGGGGGGGTCTCGAAAAAAAATAATAACAATAATAATAAAAAACACACCCTTTTCTCTGCGTCCGTGTCCTTCCGAATTGGAACCAGGCAATCAACAACTTGTGTCTGTCGCCATGTTCGGCCCGAAGGCTCGGGCCAACAAGGACATCTTGCATGGATCGCGCAGGGATCGCTTAGGGCCTCGCAAAATAATCAGGAACGAGAACCATGCAAAGCGCAAATGGGTGTGCCTTTCCTAAGGGCACCCCGTGGGCTGGCTTTCAAGGAAACCAACAGGAAACCACCCCATGTTGGAGGGGTCACCCAGGCCTGGCTCGGGCAAATGCTTGCGGCCAGGAGACAAGATCGGCTTCCTCAGGGTGCCAAAAAGCACGCAGCCCCTGCTTCCGCAGAAGAAGCAGCACCTGCAAGCAGGCGGCTAAGCATTTACACCACCAAGTGATGTTGAAGTACTCATGTGATCGCAGGACGGCCCTGGAAAACGAGCAAAACATTGCTTGCTTCAGCCTTCAGAATTTGTCGCCAAAGTGCAAACCACGCAAATGCAAACGGGGGAGAGCAGAACGGCCGAACCCTAAACGTAGGCCGTTTGGAGCCAAAGGAGCCCGTGCCCTACCAAGACAGAGTGGCAAACAACATCCATAGGTGTCCTTTTTGAAGGAATAGATGTTTCCCTGGTAGTTGATTGAACCACCAGGCAAACCAGGAATCGCCCTCTATTTTTCAACCAAACCAACCAAAAAGGACACCTATGACAACAACATTGCTGGCACTAAAGCTTCGTTCCAGTTTTGCCACTTTTGCTGGCCTTGAAACCGGCGACAGGCATCCTTCCGCGACAGTTTGGCAGTGCGCGGGCTCTTAAATCAGCCGCCACTGGTCGGTGGGACAGCACGACTTGGGTTCAACTTTCAGTCTAATCCAGGGCCTGTTCGCCTCGCACATCCGGTTCATGAGCCCGGGTCGGCGCAAACCTGCGGTCGAAAAGGCGGCAGTGTGGAAATCCTGGGTCCATTTTTGTTTAATTTTTATAATGTATGTGTACGGCTATGTTTGTTTGTGTGTGTGTGCGTGTGCACGCGGGTGCTTGCGCGCGTGTGTTTGCATAGGTAATTGTGATTCCTTCTTTTTGCACACTGACTTCTCCTTTAAAACAGCAAGGTTCTCATTTGGTAAGATTGTGGTGACTTCAATCGGCCCCAGCCAGATCAGATCTACTCATAGTGGCATTCCTTGCGTGGCACCCCCCCTCCCCCGTTGATACACACATGCACACACACATACACACGACATACACGAATCCAATATATAGACACATGTAGATATGCACACAGTATATGTATCTATCTATCTATATACATATATATATATATATGTATATGGTCCCCATCTGGTTCACCAAAGGAAGTCTAGACGGAATGTGCTGGCACGAAGTGAGTGTGCTTCCGCTGAGGCTTTGAGGAATAAACGTGCCTTCATATTTGTGGCATTGCGAGTGCGAAGCGTGAGCAGGAGCTGGACAAACGCGGCCCTGTGCATGAAATCAGCCCTGCTGCCGACACGTGCTTGGTCGCCACATGGTGACCGCGATGCGCACTTACGCCTGGCTGACCTTCCAAAACTTGTGGTTTACTTCCAAGATCTTCCAAGGTAAGAAGCAATTCATGTAATCATGAGCTAGCGAGCTAAGCTAGCTAGGCTAACCAGGTAGCTAACCAGCTAACGGAGCCAACTATCCAAGTAGCAAGCTAGCTCACGAGCTAACTAGCTCAGCCAATCAAATAGCTAGCTACTGACCTAACCAGCCTGCTAATAGCAAGCTAGCTAGCCTAGTTGGCTAGCTAGCGTGCATTTAAGCTAGCTTGCTCCCAACCCAGCTATTAGCCAACGCGCTGCTGACTAGCGAGAAGCCATAGCAACCTGGCTAGCTAACTGTGCACAAGCTAGCCAGCAACTCAGGCGAGTCATAGATTTCCAACTAGCTCGCCAGCTAGGCAATCGCTACTAGGAAGCTAGCTAACTAGCGCGACGCTAGCTACCTAACCCACTAGCCAGCCAAGCCAAGCAGCTATCTGGCTAGCTGTCGAACTAGCTAACTACGTACCCAGCTAACTAGCTGGGGAACTACCTGCCCAGCTTTCTAGCTGGCAAATTATTGAACTAGGTAACTTGACTTCACATGCATGCGCTTGAAGAGAAAAGCGGAAAACACGTGGCAAGCATGCCATGCATGTGCGCTGGCAAGGAACGGCTCCCCAAAGCATAGACTATGTTTGAAACTTTCGCTACCCGGCTTTGCCGGCTTTACGGGTATACATTTCTGTGCACCCGTATTGTATGTGAATACATGCGACTGGTAACTATGATCTCCTTGAGTCTTGACCACGCCTTTTCCATACAATCCCCACAACGCTCCTGCTAGAACAGAACGCTTGCAATGCTTCACATCATAGCCCTCACATATTTTCCGCCAACAGGGGCACGAGCTCACAGCTGTCTGTGCGAAAAGTCTGCATGCCAAGCTGCATTTGCAAGGCCGGATCTGAGGAAACGGGATCTTGTCCTGGGCTGACGATTGGAGTTGCTCAACGCCTCTATCCTTCAAGTTTTACTCGTAAGGCAGGTCTGAAGTGCCTCGAGTACCCCTCCCCAGGGACGACACACGACTAAGGCAAGCTTCCCATGATTGTACTTCTTTCTGGGATGCGGGCTTGGGGATGCCTGGCGTTTGCTCAGGTTCCGCGAGCGTTGCAGCACAGTAAGGAGCTGGACCGGGCCCTCACACTGAGGATTAAGGCCGGAGCAAAATCCCACATGGCTGCGCTCCTCTTGGCTTCCCTTGCCAGCCATGCCAAAAGAAGTGCCTTTCATGCCAAAAGAAGTGCAACTTTTAATGATACATTCCCATGTTGGAATTGTTGGAAGCCTCCTTGAATCATGGCCATTGCGACAAAGCTAGCGGCCCCCTCCAACCAATACAGGCCAAGTTTCTAAGCACATCTCGATAGACTTCATGCATCGACGCAGCCTGGACGTCAAGGACTGAAAGCTGGAGCCAGCCATTCCGAGAATGTCAAAAGGCGGAAAAAACGGACACCGAAGCACTTCAGGGAAAGCTTGGACAGGGCAGCATGCTGTCGTGCCTGCTCCCGCACGTAGGCTTGGGTTTGGGCTTCTCCTTGGCTGACAGGAACTTGCTCAATTGGGAAAACCACCTCCCAACACGAATCCCTTTTCGGGCTCCAAAAGATGGTAGCCTTCAAACAGAAATGAACATTCGCCTAAGCGCATTTTCAACAGGACCTACTTGAAGGCTTAGCCCCGACTGGATTCCTTAGACCAGGTCAATCAATCAACATCGAGCAATGCGGCAGCTCGCAGAAACCAGCCCCTGCTGGCCCAAATTGTGACACGGGCTCGGGGCTCTCCCTCTCTGCGTTTCTGCCCTCTGGGGATGTACGGCGCTTGACTGGAGGTCCGCTGAAGATCGTGGGATGGCTTTTCAAGGGCCAGGGGCCCCAAAATTAGTCGGCAGGATCTGTCCTGGGCATCGCGGCCCACTGGCGTGCTGCATATCAAATGTTAGGTGTCCAAATCATCACTCAGCCCGGTGGCTAATCACAGGGTCTTTTTCGCCCTGAAAGACACGCGGACAGTGAAGACACCCAAACCCAGGCTATATTACTTGAGCCATGCGGCAGGCTCGGTTTCAAAGTCGACGGTTTTTCCGCGCAGGCCTTGGGCAGTCAGACTTGCCAAACTCCCAGCTTAAGTCACATGCAGCTGGGTCAACTTGCTGCCTCCCACCCACGCAGAAAGCTTCATTTCCCCGGATGCGCAGTTTGCCCCGAACTATTTCGAACTCTTCCCGACGGACTGAAGCTGCCAAGCATCTTTCGGGAACATTCGCTGTTCTGATCACATGGGTGTCCTCGTCCTCTGCGATGTCACTGATATCATCGGCATCCGTCTGCATTCGCCCTTCAGGCTCAGCAGCACGTTTGAGCCGCAAAGCTCCAAACGAGGCTCTCTGAGAATACCCGGGCAGGGCTACCTATGCACCCTGCACCGCCTTGAAACCAAGGGAGGTCCACTGTTTGTTGGTATTTGGCAGGGGGCTCACCATTCCACGGATTTCTTGGATGGTGCGAATTGGATTTCGTCCATCCACAGTACCCCTCTTGCTGATACAATCCCGCCATTGAGGCTTGCCACACCGTAATTAAGGCTGCAGAAAAGCAGCGCCAGCTTTTTGCCTGGAAGGAGTATCCGTTCAGCCCGCCTTAGGAGAGCTTTTCGGGAGAGAGCGCTCCCAGCTTCTTGGCCTGTGGCCAAAGCTGGTCGCAACGTGCAAAGCCCACACGCACATCGTGTGGATGGACGTTGGATAACGCAGGGAAAAACACTTTCCAGCATTGACCTCTAAAGAGCTCCAATGCTCTTGGTTGCCAGGCTTGTGTACCACAAGCTCTTTGCCTTAGGCGACCCTCCGCGGACACAAACAACTGCAATCATGGGCTCGCTGCATGTGTCACCAAATTCAACTTGTACTTTGAGGCTCCGCTCCCATTCGAAAGTGGCCACCGTCCTGCCATCTACCTTCGGGGTTTGCCACCCGTTATTGTCTGGAAGTGCAACCCTCAAGCCTTCTGATTTTGTAGGGCCAAAATGGCCAACGATTTCCGCGGAGCTCATGGCTCAAGATTGGCATCCAACTGGCAAAAGCGGGCATCTCACTGCAGGCTGCAAAGTGAGCACGCACTGCAAGGGAAGCCCTTGCCCAGCAGCTCCATGCATTCTTCGCACGCCTCGACCCCACTCGGAGAAATCTCGAATGAAACAACTACATTTCTTGAAACCGTTGGGAGCTTTCCAAACCCGGGTGGATGTCAGCCACTGATGCCTGGGTGTGGCTCAAAATCCACGAGCTAAACCGCAGGTTTTAGACTTCAATTTCCCAAGGTGCCGTTTTAGTACATGTTTTCGAGCCCAACGTTGGAAGCGGAACGGCCCAACCAAGCGCCGGTTTTGGCCACCGAGCCCGGCCCACCTGCTGGAGCTCGGCGTCCTTGCTCTGCGCAGCGATTCCTGAGGCCAACGGAGCAGGCAATGCCGAAGTGAACACACAAAAGCCGCCAACCCAGCTGGGTCCTCCAGATTCCCGTTTGTTTTTTTTTTTTTTTTTTTTTTCCTTTTTTGTTTTGTTTTTCTTCTTTGTTTATGTTTTTTTTTTTTTTTGGCCTGGGTCGATATAGTGCAGGCACGGGGCTGTCTGCAGCACGTTAGCTTTCAAATCCTTGAGAGGTTAGAATGAGTTGGTACCCGACTTCTTTTTTTTCTTCTCTTCGGTAGTCTATTTTAGAAAGGGAACCGACTCCTCTCCAGAAAAGCGTAAAAGGGCACTACTGGAAAAACCTAGCCAGTAGCTCAATTTGACATGGGCCCCTGACCAGCCACAACAGCAACCATCGCCTCTTGCCCGCCGCGCCCTCTTTTAAACCTGGCCGTGCCTGGTATTGGCCGAAGGCCAAGACTTGTGACACGGCTCCAAACGTGTCTGTAAGCTGTCTAGGTACTTCTAAAACGCTCGGCAGCTCTCTCTCGGGTCGTTGGTTTTGACTCCCTGGATGCAAGGGCCCTGGCACACAAATGGCCTCCCAAGCAAAAGGCAAAAGATCCCAAAGAACGACCCCACCAGCAAGCTACCAGCACCAGCAAGCTCGGGTGGCCTCCCTGCAGGCATTCGAACCAGGTCACACCTTGCACTCGTGCATCGAATTATCTGAAGCAGACTTCGCTGTGAGCTCCGCTGAATCACGCATGGAGGAAAGCCGGAATCTACAGGCTAGGCTTCCTCCACCGAGTCCGGTATTTGCTTAAAAATCGCTGTCACTGCTGACCTGTGCTGTCCGCCTTTGGACGAGGCACTATGATGCCTGCTCGGATCTTGGCCACCTTCTCCTGAAAAGGGTGAGCCAACTCCAGCCATTCCCCCAAAACATTCCGGGTTGGTGATCCGACAGAAGTTGAACGAATCTGCCTTGCCTTCAAAGCAAGGATATCGAGAACTCGAGAACTTTGAAGAATACGCAAACGGAAAGCTGGACCTAAGATCTGACCCAGAGTGACATCAATTTCTCACGGACCATTCGGACGACTTCCACTTTACTTGTATGTGCTCCGAGCAAATCGGCAAGGACTTGTTTCAACAAATTCCTCGCCCTTACGGTTTAACCAATGGCCAAGCAAACAATCAAATAAGACAAGGCCATAGGGAAACACAACACGAGAGCTCCACTGCGGCAACAGCATCCTTCGACCAAGCAACTTCCACCCTGAGGGAGAGGGGGGGAACCAAAGCTACAGCTACTGTGTGTGCGGCTGTGTGCGCATATGCCAGCTTGTCTCCGTCTCTCTTGGGCTTTCTCTACGTTGCTTGTTGCCAGTTCGCCATGTGCCTGTTGTTCCTGCTTCCTTGATGCATGCTGGCGCTGCATGCATGGTGCCCGTATGTACTCTCCAAAAAAAACAATCATGAAACCTGAAAGAGGGTCCCTGCTATAGGAACATCGTCTTTTAGGGGCCCCTTTCACGTACCATGTTTGCCTTTGTTGCAGCTCCGGGTTGCTCGTAATGCGCGCTACCGCGTTGCTCCGGCAATTGCTGTGCATGCCTAACAGGAGCGACTCAGGGAAGGCTTTGCATGGCTTTGCACTCCTGGAACCATCGAGGTCTCGAGAGTCTGCATTTTGCTCTTTCGACTCAACTTCCGTGTTGCAGTTTTGGCTAGTTTTTGTTTGGAGCCATGTCTGGTCTGGGAGTGCCCTGCGCTTAGGGCTCTGGATCTGCAAATGCGACTTCCCCAACACACGTGTCATTTCAGCTGCCACATACCAGCGCTGCATGCGTGCTACGCGCTCTGTGCAGCGTCGCCGCTCCCAAGCGTATGCCCAGGTGCTATCAAATGCACGTCTGCGAAACAAACCAAACAAACAGAAGCAAAAATGAACACACAAAAAGACACACAGAACGCAGTCACACAGACAGACAAACAGAGACAACGACAGAGACAGAGCCAGAGACAGACAAACGCATTCTTAAAAGAACCAACCAACCAAACAAACACACGAACAAGCACACAAACACGCAAACAAGCAACGAAAGAAAGAGAGACAGAAAAAAGAAAGAAATACATAAAGAAATAAGTAGTGAATGAATGAAAGAGAACAAATACACATAAAGATAAAGAGAGACAGATCAATCAATATATGGAGCAGGAAAAAAGGAAAGGAGGAACGAGGGAAGGAAAGAAGGAAAGAAGGAAAGAAGGAAAGAAGGAAATAAGGAAATAAGGAAATAAGGAAATAAGGAAAGAAGGAAAGAAGGCAAGAAGGAAAGAAGGAAAGAAGGAAAGAAGGAAAGAAGGAAAGAAGAAAAGAAGGAAAGAAGGAAAGAAGGAAAGAAGGAAGGAAGGAAGGAAGGAAGGAAGGAAAGAAGGAAAGAAGGAAAGAAGGAAATAAGGAAAGAAGGAAAGAAGGAAAGAAGGAAAGAAGGAAAGAAGGAAAGAAGGAAAGAAGGAAAGAAAGAAGGAAGGAAGGAAGGAAGGAAGGAAAGAAGGAAGGAAGGAAGGAAAGAAGGAAGGAAGGAAGGAAGAAAAGACAGAAAGGAACAAAGAAGCACACAAAACATGCGCGCACACACACAATCACACACCCACCGAATATCACCACAATGGCAATGGCAATTGCACGCACGCGCGCGCACCCAGCCACGCAGCCACCCAGCCAGGCAGGCAGGCAGGCAGGCAGGCAGGCAGGCAAGCAGGCAGGCAGGCAGCCACACATGCAGCTGAAGTGGCTGACGTGGAATTACATCACCTTTCTACGGCACAACGAATCACCCCTCCTTCTTCCTCTCTTTGAGAGCCCCAGCGGGGCACAAGTGGCCTGAGGTGGCCGAGCTTGCTGGGCAGAGGCTGGCAGACTTTTCCAGAAGGCAGGAAGCCAACCCATGGATACTTCCCTCAAGGTAAATTTCATGTGTGAATCGGGGAAACCAAATCTGGCCACTCCCATAAGAGACCTTGCGGGCAACACCCCCCCACCCAACTACACAGATTCCCTTGAGAGGCCGGGGCAACAATTAACATTTTCCGTGGGTCAATGTGGCAAAACGATGTTGAAGTGGCCAGTGACTGACATGAAACTGCATGGGCCTCAAGGGACATCCGGTGACTTGTGACTATTTTGCCTGCGGAGTAGATGGTCCGAGTGTTCCCAAAACAGCTGATAGTCTTATGTCCCATGCATTGATGCCGTAAGTGGACAAGCTTTTCCACTGTGGCAGTGCTCACACATGTGGCATTCCGGCATTGGATTCGTGAAACCCCAAGGTGCCCTCAGCCATGACCGAGCGAAGCGTGCTTTCCAATCTGGACCTGGCCAGAAAAGCCAAATTGCGCATGCCAGGCTTTTGTCTCCATCAAACTGGCCACAAAGGATTCCATGGTTATACACATATATAGATATATAGGTCATGCATCCGCAACTCACCCAGCTCACCAAATTAAATGACCTTTTTCGTGTTGTTGGAAAGTTGGAACCAGTCTTTTACAGTTTCAGGCAAACCAACCCCACTCAACCACAGAGTTGCGCACCCCCAAAAAACAAATATGTGCGATCAACATTGTCCAAGACCGCGTCACATCTACTTGCCGGCATTTAATAAACGATTGTGGCCTCATCAAAAGGAGTGCATACACTTGCAATGGTCAGAACATTCTCTTCGAGGACAAAAAAGCCCTTTTCTCAGCACGACTGCGCGCCACGCCAAAACCACACTTCTGCCACTTCTCCTTCCATTGCCTCATGAGCTCGGGTATTGTTCAACAAATTAGTACGGTTGAGCAAGCAAGCGCAACTGCTAACCCTAAGCAGTTTGGTGGCAAAGGGGGGCACAGTCTTGAGGACCTTTTTGCATGCCAAGGCGCAGTAACCGCAGTTCTGAGCGTTGGAGC